CAAAGCAGCAATCTACTTCAATGTTTATTCGTCAATTTGCATGTTGTCTTTTAGCGGCATTTAGAAGTTGTCATAGATGACCAAGATATTTTATGGATTTAAGCTTCTTTATTCTATGACACTGTGACACTATGACGTCCTTGTGGATTGTGATGTCACGTGCATTGTGACGTCATAACGCAGTTATGACGTCATAGTGTCGACGTCAGTAGTGTCAGCTGTCACTTTAAGCTGGGCCCGGTCTCGCATATCGCAAGTTAGAGCGCGCAAAGGGAGCCGGGAACCAGTTTAGTGTCACTTCACCTGATGAAGATATCTGTATTGATCCCGGAATGGTATGTTGGAAAGAATAAAGAAGCTTATATCCATAAAATATCTTGGTCAATTTGCATGTTGTTTTGGTCGTGTGTTTTCTGAAGCTGTAGCTGAATAGTAAAGAAAGAATCTCTGAAAGGTTTTACAGAAAACTCTATCGTGCCACCAAGTTATCAGAAACGTTGTTATAACGTTGCGAGGAGCACAAAGCATAACGTTTCCTCAGCATAAATTTGCAACGTTGCTATTACGTTGTGACATAACGTTATAAAATGACGTAATAATAACGTTGTGACAACGTTGTGTCATATGGTTATAAAATGACGTAATAATAACGTCGTGACAACGTTGTGTAATGACGTTATAAAATGACGTAATAATAACGTTGTGACAACGTTGTGTTGTGTCATGACGTTACTAATCTACAACCTTCCAACAATGTTCCTAAACGTTGTGTGTCAGCTGGGCTTCTGTTAGAGCTTCATTTAGAAAAATGAGGTCAAATGTTAGAAAGGGCCGGTGACAGAGTTTAACCAGTATACACCACCCCTGTTTTAGCCCGCTCGTATCCCAGAGAAGTGTAAATAACGTAACTACGTGACAAAGAAATTCGGTCAAATCGCCACAGGGTCGTTCAGAGTTGACTGAAATACGAGTAATAATTATGGAGCCACTCTAAGACGGTGTTTTGTATGTACCAGGCAAACAATCTGATCACAGTGATCACAAAATATTGTACTTACTTACTCGTGATGTAGTTTTGGCGTAAACTAACGACGTTTTTATCTGCCACGTAGGTGTTTAGGTCAGGTAGATCATATCTTTATCAACTGTGTGTAATGGCGATTTCACACGCCGCTAGAGTATGGATCGTCATTCTGTTTCTGATGCTGATTGACAGAAAATAAATGTTACATAAAGAAAGGCAGCTTACAGTCTTCACTATTAACTTGTGGTAATAGAAACGTTTAGACAGAGGAAGGTCATGGTCAACGCGTTTACACCGAAGAAATCGACGGAGCACGTTCACATCGTGAAATAGATGTGTTGCGGTTTTTAGTCAGCCAGTTGTGTCACTTGCTCGGCCATTTCGACGCTTCATATATCTATAGTTATACAAAAACCAAAGACGTTTTTGGTCACCAACAACTTGAAAACTATTGGTTGGATTGTTTTTAAGGATAATAGTGAAAACGGACCCCAGCGAAAACGAGAAAACGGCCATTATATATACAGAAACAGAAACAGAAAACTACATGTAGTTTATTTTGCTTTAATCCATCTCTAAATCACTATTATAATAAGAAGGCAATAACAATGATAAGATAGTCATGGCAAAGTCCCGTTTTCACTTTCAAATTCCTCTAATTGAAATGTTGATGATGATATTTAATTTTTTTCAGGAATAACAACAATTCACAATTTGTGTACAAATGTTTATGTGCTAAGTATTGATGTTCAGCTGAAGCTGGGTGTCACGGTCGGGGTTATTAGTATAGTGATCTTGTTCATACATTTTGCTTATATACACAAAGAACTTAATTAAGCACCCCTGCATTTTAGCAATGATAGGTTTTCAACACGTACATAAAATTCTCGTGGTGACCATGATGGAATAGCATGAGGTTTTCTGATTCGTATGAACCTTTGACTCATACAAAACGACAAAATGATTGGAATCCATGCTGATTTTATGATGATAATTGATTATTTTTTTAAAAACCCACTGGTTTTCAAACACAACCATGTCTGTACAAGTATGGAACTGGAATGTTTAATGTTGAATATTTTGGTGAATGTGAACATTCAAAATGTCACTTTGCGTGTCTTACACGATTCAAGGTCAATACCGAGTGTAACCTCCATGTGACTGTATGACAACCAGCACCCTCCTCCTCATAACCCCTGTCAGCCTCCTGATCCTCTGAAGGGCCAGTCTACGCCATTCCTCGTGTAAAACAGCTTCCAATTGGGCCAGGTTCTGTACATGAGGATCCCTTTGTTGTACACGGCGACCAATCTAGTCCCAGATACGCTCCAAAGGGTTATATATTAATTAGGATCGGGGCTCATTCAGTCGTGAGATATGTCAGGGGGTACTTAACTAGGTTCTTTGTGAATATTATAATTCTTTGTGTATATTATAATTATGCCTCATCCGCTAATCCCCATTGGCTCAGCACCAACTCCTCACGTCATATAAACGTGATATTGTGTCAAAGTCGTTTTGACACATTGTGCCTCTGCCCCAATTTCTGTCCATGATACGCGCGACATAATGTATAGAGTGGAAGCTGTCTAAACCGACACACGTCGGGACTGAATAAATAATCCGGTTTGAACAGCGTGCCGGAATGTAGAGCTGACATGGTTACCTACGACTAGAACTAAACCAGTTTTATCACTCTCATATACATTGTTGTATAAGTTGGTTCTCTCAACTCACTAATTACATGTACAAGTACACCCATACTGAACTAAGATTAGATTATCTTTGTTGGCAACCATGTAGTTTCAAGACAGGATTACTGACTCATTGCCACGCGCCGGATTAGACAGCGCTGATTACTGTATAAACACATATTCGGGCGGCTCATTTCATGTCGAGATCCGGAATTGACAGCTGCCGGATTACAGAGCCTTCAAATGATGATAAATGTACTAGCCATGGACGTGACTGAGATTTTACGCCGATATTGACAACTTGCCGGATTGGACAGCTGGCGGTTTTGACAGCTTGCACTATATATTGTTTGTAGGAGGCGAACCAAGATTCCGACATGGATAACATGAACATGCTGAACAATAAGAAAGACAATAAGACATGGTCCAATATTGAATGCAATATGTGAAGAAAACGTAAAGCTTAAGAATCGTTACGGTAAGAAAACGAGACCCTCCCCCCCCACACCCCCTAAACCGATTTATATTAACCACGCCAAAGCTTAAAACACGTTTGAAAGAGTAAACATAAAAATATTGTATAGTAAGTGAATTACAAAAAAATCATTCAAAATATTCACCGAAACATTTTAGTTTAATTATAAAAGTTTAAATATAAAAGTGAAACGTGTAAGGAATTATATATCTTTTTAACGATATTAATTCCAAACAATATGATGATCACGACCTGAGGCATGATCTTGAAGAAGGGGAATCAAATGAATTTAACTGCGGTAAAGTAAATGAAACAATCATAACTGGGGATTCAGAAAAGAATTTAAGTCTTAAAAACATCCAGGAGCAGGTTCAGATTATATTGAGAACGATTGTATTATCAATTCCATTGATATATTTATAAGTTTCATGGTTTACTCTCATACCTACCGCTGGAAACGATCCCGAGCAATGGTTAATTATAGACATTAAACCAATATAATATAAACATTGAACCAATCTATAATAAAAGAGGATACAATGTATCTTGACTCTGTCTTGGAAAGATTTTACGGGTATTCTGAGTTCACCATTCATCAACTTATCACATATTTTAAATTATAATACACCGCCTGAAGACAGTAAGAAAGAAGCAAACTTGTATGTATGTATGTATGTATGTATGTATGTATGTATGTATGTATGTATGTATGTATGTATGTATGTATGTATGTATGTATGTATGTATGTATGTATGTATGTATGTATGTATGTGTGTCTGCATATATGCTTGTCTGTCTGTATGTATGTATGTATGTATGTATGTATGTATGTATGTATGTATGTATGTATGTATGTATGTATGTACGTACGTACGTATGTGTGTATATGTGTCTGTATATATGCCTGTCTGTATGTCTGTCTGTATGGGTGCGTATGTGCATGCATGTATGTATGTACGTGCGTACGTATGTATGTGTGTGTGTGTCTGTCTGTCTGTGTGTCTGTGTATCTGTATATATGCCTGTCTGTCGGTCTGTATGTGTGTATGTGCATGCATGTACGCGTGTATGTATGTACGTATGTACGTATGTACGTACGCACGTATGTATGTATGTATGTATGAGTACGTATGTGTGTGTGTGTGTGTGTCTGTCTGTCTGTCTGTGTCTGTGTATCTGTATATATGCCTGTCTGTTGGTCTGTATGTGTGTATGTGCATTCATGTACGTGTGTATGTATGTGTGTGTGTACTTACGTACGTACGTATGTATGTGTTTGTATGTATGTATGAGTACGTGTGTGTGTGTGTGTCTGTCTGTGTGTCTGTCTGTCTGTCTGTCTGTATGTATGTATGTTGCACTTATTGTAGGAGTAAAACGTGTACAATTTCACTGAATGCCATCTACTGTATTTCGGTGACTACCTGCTTGTCTAGCTATAGTGTCACACATACCTGAAGTGTGCGATATGCGATGACGCCCACCCAGACCAAGGCAAGGGCTGCACGTACTATCAGCTGCACATATTTTATAGATAGCCTAGCTCTGAGCAGGAGTAATATGACGCATGCATTGACACGTCTCAACACATTGTGTTATATTCAGTTATATTAGAATGAATACGTTCATACTCTGTGCCTTTGGAAACACTAAAATCAATCTTCTTTATCGAAGCGTTGCTATTGACCAAGAAAAAGTGTTTACATGTATTCTTAACCAATCAACGCGTGCGTTAGAAGTCACGTGACAACGACAACAGCGTCCTTGGAGAATGTTCCTATGAATCAGCAGATTTGATATCTCGCTGCTGTAGGAACTTTAACCCTTACCAGTCGACTTGAAATTCTGACGAGGGACGGACGCAATCCACCGAACAGACATGCCTACCTACAAGTTTAAATATTTCAACGCCCGAGGGTTCGGCGAGGTGTCTCGCCTTCTGTTTGCCCTAGCTGGACAAGAGTACACGGACGAGCGGTTCACACAGGAAACATGGCCAGCCGAGAAACCAAGTAAGCAATTACTAGAATATCTATCTGTATTACTGGAAACACAGGTTGTCAGGAGATGCATTTCGGCCGTTGGGTGGTTGTCGGCACGTATGAACTCGGAATGTAGGGGGGTATACCTGACAACGATCCCAACTGCCACGAGTCAAGGTGTTGGGTTGCATCCTTTTAACTGGGCCAGGGCGCAGAGTGTAAGGTTGCGACATACATACATACATACATACATACATACATACATACATACATACATACATACATACATACATACATACATACTAACATTTGTATAGCGCCGATATCCAGCTCAGCTCAGCTGCTCAAAGGCGCTTAATGTTTTCCGAGCTCATTTGCTGGGAGGATTTTATAAAGGAACCTTTTTGGTATTTTTTCATTAACAAGAACACCACCAAACTGACCTGGGCAGAAAAAAGGCTTTAATACAGGGTCACGTGTATCTCAAGTAGAACAAAAGAATTTAAATGTTTTTAATGTAATTGGCAAGGACAATTACTGACGCTCAAGATATAAAGTGACGTCACTCACAGATCTCATTAAGTTATTCTTTCTGATGCAATATCTTTCTTACTAGAAGATCAATGTAACTGTCAGTGGACTTTGCACTGATCAAGGGTCAACGGTGCACTCATTGACTCAATATTTGCAAGTATTTTATGTCGCTTCCTGTTAAGCGAGATTCGTTTCTGTTGTATATTTTACGCCTCACCCAGCCACAATTGACGGACAGACAGACAGAAAAAACTTTATTTCGAAATATCGGCCTCATGGCCTATAATACAGTCACAGAATTTGGCAGTTTCATGAAAAACAGTGGTCATAATTTGTATTGGGATCTTACTTTAAAAACATAATGTGAAAATAGTGTTGTGCCGTATATAACTTGAGGGTTTTGCGATTGCAAAATTGACGTCATAGTTCGTGGGCCTTTGTAGGTAGACATTGGAGTTGTTCAAAATAGTTGTCTCTGTGCTGCTGATATTTGTCAGATCGCAAGAATACATGATTTTCAGTTTCTTTTTCTGCGGCATCACTGAGTGAACACAAGCAGTTTGTACTTGGTGCATCCTCATTAAGCCTGTACATGTTCACTTTAAAGTGAAGTTGTTATTCGGAATGCGAAACCTGATAAGTGCACGGTGTTTATATTTTTTTAGTTCTGTTATGTAGGGCTCAAGGCGAAGTTCATATGTAAACATATTCATATTTATGTGAATAATGGCTGAGAAAAGTGGAGCTGTTGATTTCGTTGTGCCAAGTTTGGTAGGCAATATCCTTCAATCGGTTGTCTGTAATGGTTGGTCCAGTGATTGATATCATGAGCATTGGTCTACGCAACGACACCCAAAACGACAAGCATGGGTTGCTGAAAACTCTCAGCATGAATCGGTTTAACTAAGCAATGTGAAAGTAAGGATTTTGAGTAAGAACTATTAAAAGATACTTTTCCTTCCTCCTTGAATTAAGATTTTGAATCACGTTCAGATATACATGTGTTTAACCCTTTCATATAGCTCAAAAAAGGTTTCTTTGAATATCTATTTCATATACAATAGTTAAAATAGACATTCATCGTTGATTAAGTCCTTGTTCTATATTCTAAACAGTTACTTTTGTATATTGGAGGCCAAAAAATCCCAGCTAAATATAGGGTGGCCAATGGTGTAAGGCGCCCACCAGAGCAGGATCCGCTGATCGTCAGTTCGAATTCCATTGTTGACCTTATTACTCTCCTTGATTTTGTCAACACAACCTCAGCGCGCATAAGTAGCCCTTCATCACTTTGTACGTGAAAGCTTCTGAAATTGAAATATTAAGCCTCTTTAAAAAATCGATAATGTTTGTTCTCTTATGTTGCAGACGTTCTGCTCGGACAGATGCCTGTTCTGGAAGTGGACGGGGCGGCATACGGACAGAGCAGCGCCATTGCCAGATTCCTCGCAAGAAGATTCAGTAGGGATTCAAACTCATTCTTTCTGCAATAGATGTTTGTTATTTAACGCCGCACTTTGCCTCGTTTTAGCGTATCAATAATCGTTGCAGTTTTTTAATAGAGAAGCTGGTTATTGCTGTTCTAACTGTGAGTGTTGTGTTGTAGATTTCTATGGTTCGGGAGACATCCAAGCCCTTGAAGTGGACCAGGTCCTGGGTGTAGTCCAGGACATTATAAATGCCATGATCAAAGCCTTTTATGAGAAGGATGAAGCCAGGAAGGTAAGCTACAGTGCCTTGACTCGTCAGCATCCTATACGTGGCGACTGTGGCGACGTAACAAACACGTTACGACATGCTACTTGTTGTTACCCTGTCTGGTTCTTGTCTTCTAGGGGGACACAATGAGTGAGTGAGTTTAGTTTTACGCCGCACTCAGCAATATTCCAGCTATATGGCGGCGGTCTCTAAATAATCGAGTCTGGACCAGACAATCCAGTGATCAACAGCATGAGCATCGACCTACGCAATTGGGATACGATGAGATGAGTCAACCAAGTCAGCAAGCCTGACAACCTGTTCCCGTTAGTCGCCTCTTAAGATAAGCATGGGTTACTGAAGATCGATTTCATACCCGGATCTTCACGGGTCTAGGGGGAAAGAGCGAGGACAATATATACTGCCTCCGAGTAAAATGTGTCGGGGCCGGTGGGTTAGAAACCATACTCACCTTAAGGAATTTGTGTTGGATCTGAACAGGCGCAGTTCATGACGGAGAACAAAGAAGAAAAGCTGCCGCTGTATTTGGGGATGCTGGAAAAGCTTCTGGTGAAAAACGGCAGTACAGGATTCTTCGTCGGCAAATCGGTAACCACATGTCAAATTGTGCTTCTTCAAAACCCACATGAATCTACCTCTCCACATACAAACAGTAAACTCCTTGTATAGCGAACTTGCTTGTAACGAACTGACGGATACAAGGACCTGCTGGTTTTAGCTGTCGTGTAACGAACGACGGTTATAACGAATTAAACTTAGTGGCCCGTTACCTGCATGGACCCTAGTTGGATTTACACCATTCCTTCAGCCGCTGGCGATTGTACTAAATTTTTGCCATCGCATACAACAAACATACTACGATTAAAAGCTTGGTAGAGCTAAATTTACTTTAAAAATTCTGGGACTTACGTGCCGTCTCAGGAATTGTCTTCATGAAATGTAACAAAGATCACAATATTATTATTGTCATCACAATCACAGTGTTCATAACAATCGTATCATAAACCGATTATTTATCAGTCGCTGTTGTCACTATCAGAAACATATGAAAGAGAATCACAGCTATGAAAATCACCTGTCCAGTGATCATGAAAATATCACCATGTAAGTTTCATTCATCGTCAGCTGATGAAATCCACAATCCTACTCCGAACACAAATAATTCAGATAAAAACATTTCACTGAAATCACGGAAATGTAGGTCTGTGTGATTTCATAACGAAAAGAAAATAGTTGTAACCATTCTTTGTGAGAATATTTCAAGAAGTCAATGGACCCGTTGTTAGTGTATGGGACATAGCATTGCTAAAAAGCCAGCTTAACTTGAGAAAATAGTTGTAACCATTCTTTGTGAGAATTCGGTGGTTTCACATTAATGTTTGACATTAATTCTAAATGGCATTGTGTATTTCATAATCTTTGACTCGCTGTGCGCATGAACTGTTATCACACGCAAAAACTATTCATAACAGCTTTTCTTTAGAGTGTGTTTACACTGTCGGTAAACGTACGACCAAACCGGAACTAGGCCAGTGGATATTTTTACACGCTCTGCGCATGCGCACAGCTGGTCTAAAAGTAATGTGAAACCACCGAATAGTTCGATAGTTTCGAGCAGACTAGGGACCCGTTGCACAAAGTTACGTTAGAGCTACAACCTGTCTGTGTCAAAGTAATGGAGACTTAGTGCTGAGATCTGTTAGTACAAGTGGGCCCAGCAGTATAAATGCCATCTGTTTTCAGATTACCCTTGCTGACGTCACTGTGTTTGACATCTGCGACAAGATCCAAGCAATGGTGGACTTTGACAAGTTCCCGCAGGTCAAGAAATGCCGGGAAAGTGTAGCTTCTAACCCCAAAGTCAAGAAATGGGTTGACACGAGGCCCGTCACAGAAAACTAGTTCAGTGACATCATAAAGAAACGTTTTGTTCATATATTCATTTGTTTTACACAAATCGTTGAATGATTCCAACATCTAACCTGGACGTCACTGTATTGATCCTGTTATTGCAAACAATTCACGTCCGTTTGTGAAAAGTACCCACTGTACTTATATAGTGCTGTGTGTTCTTAAGAGAAAGATGAGTCAATATTTTCATGATTTTGTGTTCCTCATGTGCTAGTAGTGTTGTTTACAATGTTTACAAATAAAGTTTTTCAAAATTGTTGATTTTTTTTATTGCTGTTTTATCGCGCGTGTGTCTCTCTCTCTCTCTCTCTCTCTCTCTCTCTCTCTCTCTCTCTCTCTCTCTCTCTCTCTCTCTCTCTCTCTCTCTCTCTCTCTCTCTCTGTGTGTGTGTGTGTGTGTGTGTCTGTGTTTCTCGGCAGGTATGTGCTTGCCTATTTTGATTTAACAGTCTTAACCTAAATACATTTTCATGTAAACAGACTGGAATTTATTCCACTTTTAATTTTATTTCCAGTTCAGTGAATCACACTCATCATCAGTGAAATAAAATTATGTTTTATCAGATAAATTCAGTTATACCACTATACACATAATTCGCAATACGTTATAAATAATGTATGTATTTTTTAATGGCACCTATATGAGTAATACACTTAAAGAGAGAGCCTTCAGAGATGTCAACTTTGGCATTAAAAGACCCTTCCCTTTTATAAATATGTAGACACGTTGACTATCAATGGTATCTATCAAAACGTAGCGTAGTGGTTAAAGCGTTAGTTCATCACGCGGAAGACCTGGGTTCGATTCCCCACATGGGCACAATGTGTGAAGCTCATTTCTGGTTTACCCCGCTGTGATATTGCTGGAATATTGCTAAAAGTTGCGTAAAACTAAACTAAATTCACTCACTCTATCAAAACGCAGCGCAGCAAGAAGAAATAACATTGTACAGACAACGTTGAACATTGCGCACTGTAGGCTCAAAACACGACAAAGTTTTCTCAAAAGTCGCTATGGATGGAAGGATGACGTTTTGCGAACACAAACAAAAGATAAACATTTAAATAATATTTCGAATATGGAGCCAGTGCATGTAGTGTTTATCTCAAGATTATAACTGGTACGTTGTTTTAGGTTACACAAAATCCAATGTTTCCCCTCAGACTTCCATAGTAACGTTATACTGTCTTAAACATATCCAGGCCTTTAACAGTCAGTACCATATGTGTTTGCCTTAACATGGCAATGTCCCCCGCCGCTAAAGAAGCATGAAATATAACATATTTACTCATTTCTATCTATTGGTCAACAGTAGATTATCTTTTGTGTGATGTAGTTTTTAGTCATGGTCACTTCTCAGAATCTTCTCTTAACTCTGGAGTTATTTCAGGAATATATCCAATGCACATATCCAATGTCAGTCTCATTGTGTATTAGGGGTGGGACGAGTCTAAATTTTCTACCCTGGTACCCCACCCTCTATTACCCTACCCTACCCAACACTATCCTGATACCCGTTATGTTAATTCCTGACATCAAATTTGTAAGAATGGCAATATATTCTTCAGCTCGAAGGCTAAAATTTCGAGTTTTTCAATGTCTTAACCATGTATTATATTCAAAACAGGTGTCTGTAAATAATGTCTAAATCTTCAAAGACAATACAACATTTAAGTGACTGGTGTCTGCGCAATCATCCAATGTAGGTTGTCACCAAATTTGAAGACATTGGGTAAAACAGTTCATGAGATACTAATATCCCGTTAACAAGAATCAGGACGTACGGATGCTGCTAAATACATAGTCCCCCGTTCCGCGTTGGGGGGGGGGGGGAGAAGAGAACAAAATCACAAATTTTGGCCAGGTTAACAAATTCCTTTTTCGAATACAGGAAGTTGAACACACAAACTCCAGTTCCGCACCAAATGTCACCTACTTGAAAATATCTCTGCACACATTCAGCTCAAGTCATTTTGTCAAAAATCCAGTACTAAATATTGAACATTTTGGTCCGTTATAATTACTCGATGAATGTATATTAAATGTCTGTCTGTCTGTCTGCCTGTATGTATGTGACTGCTGCACTTATTGTAGGAGTAAAACGTGTACAATTTCACTGAATGCCATCTACTGCATTTCGGTGACTACCTGCTTGTCTAGCTATAGTGTCACCTAATCTCGACCCGAGTACACACATACCTGAAGTGTGCGATATGCGATAACGCCCACCCAGACCAAGGCAAGGGCTGCACGTACTATCAGCTGCACATATTTTATAATAGCCTAGCTCTGAGCAGGAGTAATATGTTGCATGCATTAACTCGTCTCAACACATTTGTGTTATCTTCAATTATATCAGAATGAACACATTCATACCCTGTGCCTTTGGAAACACTAAAATCAATCTTCTTTATAGAAGCGTTGCTATTGACCAAGAAAAAGTGTTTACATGTATTCTTAACCAATCAACGCGTGCGTTAGAAGTCACGTGACAACGACAACAGCGTCCTTGGAGAATGTTCCTATGAATCAGCAGATTTGATATCTCGCTGCTGTAGGAACTTTAACCCTTACCAGTCGACTTCGAAATTCTGACGAGGGACGGACGCAATCCACCGAACAGACATGCCTACCTACAAGTTTAAATCTTTCAACGCCCGAGGGTTCGGCGAGGTGTCTCGCATTCTGTTTGCCCTAGCTGGACAAGAGTACACGGACGAGCGGTTCACACAGGAAACATGGCCAGCCGAGAAACCGAGTAAGCAATTACTAGAATATCTATCTGTATTACTGGAAACACAGGTTGTCAGGAGATGCATTTCGGCCGTTGGGTGGTTGTCGGCACGTATGAACTCGGAATGTAGGGGGGTATACCTGACAACGATCCCAACTGCCACGAGTCAAGGTGTTGGGTTGCATCCTTTTAACTGGGCCAGGGCGCAGAGTGTAAGGTTGCGACATGCTTTTAATGTTTTCCGAGCTCATTTGCTGGGAGGATTTTATAAAGGAACCTTTTTGGTATTTTTTCATTAACAAGAACACCACCAAACTGACCTGGGCAGAAAAAAGGCTATAATACAGGGTCACGTGTATCTCAAGTAGAACAAAAGAATTTAAATGTTTTTAATGTAATTGGCACGGACAATTACTGACGCTCAAGATATAAAGTGACGTCACTCACAGATCTCTTTAAGTTATTCTTTCTGATGCAATATCTTTCTATCTAGAAGATCAATGTAACTGTCAGTGGACTTTGCACTGATCAAGGTCAACGGTGCACTCATTGACTCAATATTTGCAAGTATTTTATGTCGCTTCCTGTTAAGCGAGATTCGTTTCTGTTGTATATTTTACGCCTCACCCAGCCACAATTGACGGACAGACAGACAGAAAAAAAACTTTATTTCGAAATATCGGCCTCATGGCCTATAATACAGTCACAGAATTTGGCAGTTTCATGAAACTGTGGTCATAATTTGTATTAGGGATCTTACTTTAAAAACATAATGTGAAAATAGTGTTGTGCCGTATATAACTTGAGGGTTTTGGGATTGCAAAAATGACGTCATAGTTAGTGGGCCTTTGTAGGTAGACATTGGAGTTGTTCAAAATAGTTGTCTCTGTGCTGCTGATATTTGTCACATCGCAAGAATACATGATTTTCAGTTTCTTTTTCTGCGGCATCACTGAGTGAACACAAGCAGTTTGAAATAGGTGCATCCTCATTAAGCCTGTACATGTTCACTTTAAAGTGAAGCTGTTATTCGGAATACGAAACCTGATAAGTGCACGGTGTTTATATTTTTTTAGTTCTGTTATGTAGGGCTCAAGGCGAAGTTCATATGTAAACATATTCATACTTATGTGAATAATGGCTGAGAAAAGTGGAGCTGTTGATTTCGTTGTGCCAAGTTTGGTAAGCAATATCCTTCAATCGGTTGTCTGTAATGGTTGGTCCAGTGATTGATATCATGAGCATTGGTCTACGCAACGACACCCAAAACGACAAGCATGGGTTGCTGAAAACTCTCAGCATGAATCGGTTTAACTAAGCAATGTGAAAATAAGGATTTTGAGTAAGAACTATTAAAAGATACTTTTCCTTCCTCCTTGAATTAAGATTTTGAATCACGTTCAGATATACATGTGTTTAACCCTTTCATATAGCTCAAAAAAGGTTTCTTTGAATATCTATTTCATATACAATAGTTAAAATAGACATTCTTCGTTGATTAAGTCCTTGTTCTATATTCTAAACAGTTACTTTTGTATATTGGAGGCCAGAAAATCCCAGCTAAATATAGGGTGGCCAATGGTGTAAGGCACCCACCAGAGCAGGATCCGCTGATCGTCAGTTCGAATTCCATTTTTGACCTTATTACTCTCCTTGAATTTGTCAACACAACCTCAGCGCGCAGAAGTAGCCCTTCATCACTTTGTACGTGAAAGCTTCTGAAATTGAAATATTAAGCCTCTTTAAAAAATCGATAATGTCTGTTCTCTTATGTTGCAGACGTTCTGCTCGGACAGATGCCTGTTCTGGAAGTGGACGGGGCGGCATACGGACAGAGCAGCGCCATTGCCAGATTCCTCGCAAGAAGATTCAGTAGGGATTCAAACTCATTCTTTCTGCAATAGATGTTTGTTATTTAACGCCGCACTTTGCCTCGTTTTAGCGTATCAATGATCGTTGCAGTTTTTTAATAGAGAACTGGTTATTGCTGTTCTAACTGTGAGTGTTGTGTTGTAGATTTCTATGGTTCGGGAGACATCCAAGCCCTTGAAGTGGACCAGGTCCTGGGTGTAGTCCAGGACATTATAAATGCCATGATCAAAGCCTTTTTTGAGAAGGATGAAGCAAGGAAGGTAAGCTACAGTGCCTTGACTCGTCAGCATCCTATACGTGGTGACCGTGGCGACGTAACAAACACGTTACGACATGCTACTTGTTGTTACCCTGTCTGGTTCTTGTCTTCTAGGGGGACACAATGAGTGAGTGAGTTTAGTTTTACGCCGCACTCAGCAATATTCCAGCTATACGGCGACGGTCTCTAAATAATCGAGTCTTGACCAGACAATCCAGTGATCAACAGCATGAGCATCGATCTACGCAATTGGGATACGATGAAATGAGTCAACCAAGTCAGCAAGCCTGACAACCTGTTCCCGTTAGTCGCCTCTTACGATAAGCATGGGTTACTGAAGATCGATTTCATACCCGGATCTTCACGGGTCTAGGGGGAACGAGCGAGGACAATATATACTTCCTCCGAGTAAAATGTGTCGGGAGTTGGGGGTTAGAAACCATTCTCACCTTAAGGAATTTGTGTTGGATCTGAACAGGCGCAGTTCAAGACGGAGAACAAAGAAGAAAAGCTGCCGCTGTATTTGGGGATGCTGGAAAAGCTTCTGGTGAAAAACGGCAGTACAGGATTCTTCGTCGGCAAATCGGTAACCACATGTCAAATTGTCCTTCTTCAAAACCCACATGAATCTTCCTCTCCACATACAAACATTAAACTCCGTGTATAGCGAACTTGCTTGTAACGAACTGACAGATACAAGGACCTGCTGTTTTAGCTGTCGTGTAACGAACGACAGTTATAACGAATTAAAATTAGTGGCCCGTTGTAGTTCGATATAACCGTAGTTTACTGTATAACTGTTACAAATAGAACCGATTCTGTTCTTATCGTATTGTTATTTATAATTTATATTATAAAAAAAATAGATGTCGACGAAGTACAGTAAGACCAACTGGAATATCACAGCATCAAGAATTAAAATTAGCATCTACCCCTAAAATTGGATTTCAAATTAGGAAATATAAAAACTGCCTGAGTATCGCCAACAACTGAAGGTAGATCACCATACTAGGGACCACGGGGACAGTACTTGTGTTACCTGCATGGACCCTTGGATTTACACCATTCCTTCAGCCGCTGGCGATTGTACTAAATTTTGCCATCGCATACAACAAACATACTACGATTAAAAGCTTGGTAGAGCTAAATTTACTTTAAAATTTCTGGGACATACGTGCCCTCTCAGGAATTGTCTTCATGAAATGTGAAAAAGATCACAATATTATTATAGGCATCACAATCACAGTGTTCATAACAATCGTATACCGATTATCTATCAGTCGCTGTTGTCACTATCAGAAACATATGAAAGAGAATCACAGCTATGAAAATCACCTGTCCAGTGATCATGAAAATATCACCATGTAAGTTTCATTCATCGTCAGCTGATGAAATCCACAATCCTACTCCGAACACAAATAATTCAGATACAAACATTTCACCGAAATCACGGAAATGTAGGTCTGTGTGATTTCATAACGAAAAGAAAATAGTTGTAACCATTCTTTGTGAGAATATTTCAAGAAGTCAATGGACCCGTTGTTAGTGTATGGGACGTAGCATTGCTAAAAAGCCAGCTTACCTTGAGAAAATAGTTGTAACCATTCTTTGTGAGAATATTTCAAGTAGTCAATGGACCCGTTCTTAGTGTATGGGATGTAGCATTGCTAAAAAGCCCACTTACCTTGAGAAAATGGTGGTAACCATTCTTTGTGAGAATTCGGTGCTTTCACATTTATCTTTGACATTAATTCTAAATGGCATTGTGTATTTTATAATCTTTGACTCGCTGTGCGCATTAACCGTTGTCACACGTAAAAAACTATTCATAACAGCTTTTCTTTAGAGTGTGTTTACGACCAAACCGGAACTAGGCCAGTGGATATTTTTACACGCTCTGCGCATGCGCACAGCTGGTCTTAAAGTAATGTGAAACCACCGAATAGATCGAGCAGACTAGGGACCCGTTGCACAAAGCTACGTTAGAGCTACAACCTGTCCGTGTTAAAGTAATGGAGATTTAGTGCTGAGATCTGTTAGTGCAAGTGGGCCCAGCAGTATAAATGTCATCTGTTTTCAGATTACCCTTGCTGACGTCACTGTGTTTGACATCTGCGACAAGATCCAAGCAATGGTGGACTTTGACAAGTTCCCGCAGGTCAAGAAATGCCGGGAAAGTGTAGCTTCTAACCCAAAAGTCAAGAAATGGGTTGACACGAGGCCCGTCACAGAAAACTAGTTCAGTGACATCATAAAGAAACGTTTTACACAAATCGTTGAATGATTCCTACATCTAACCTGGACGTCACCGTATTGATCCTGTCATTGCAAACAATTCACGTCCGTTTGTGAAAAGTACCCACTGTACTGCAATTAGGTATGGAAAAGGTTGCTTTCAAGCTTTTGTGTCCCTGACATATATATAGTGCTGTGTGTTCTTAAGAGAAAGAGGGGCGGTGGGGCGGTGGGGTGGTGGGGTGGTGGGGTGGTGGGGTGGCCTAGTGGTTAAAGCGTTGGCTCCTCACGCCGAAGACCCGGGTTCGAATCCCCACATGGGTACATTGTGTGAAGCCCATTTCTGGTGTCCCCCGCCGTGATGTTGCTGGAATATTGCTAAGAGCGGCGTAAAACCAAACTCAGTCAGTCAGTCAGTTAAGAGAAAGATGAGTCAATATTTTCATGATTTTGTGTTCCTCATGAGCTAGTATTATTGTCGCTTCGCTACATGTGCTTATGAAGAAGATGTTTTCAATATTTACAAATAAAGATTTTTCAAAATTGTTAATTTTTTCTGATTGTTGTTTTATCGTGTGTGTATCTCTCTCTCTCTCTCCTCTCCCTCTCTCTCTCTCTCTCTCTCTCTCTCTCTCTCTCTCTCTCTCTCTCTCTCTCTCTCTCTCTCTCTCTCTCTGTGCTTTTCTCAGCACGTATTTGCTTGCCTATTTTTGGTTTAACAGTCTTACCCTAAAAACATTGTCGTTTAAGCAGACAGGAAGTTATTCCGCTTTTCATTATATATTTCCAGTACAGTGTGAAATAAAATTATGTTTTATCAGATAAATTCAATTATACCACTATACGCATAATTCGCAATACGTTATAGCTAATGTATGTATTGTTTTAATGGCACCTATATGAGTAATACACTTAAAGAGAGAGCCTTTATAGATGTTGACTTTGGCATTAAAGGACCCTTCCCTTTTTATATATGTAGACACGTAGACTATCAATGGTATCTATCAAAACGTAGCGTAGTGGTTAAAGCGTTCGTTCACCACGCGGAAGACCTGGGTTCGATTCCCCACATGGGTACAATGAGTGAAGCTCATTTCTGGTGTCTCCCGCTGTGATATAGCTGTGATATTGCTCAAAGCGGCGTAAAACTAAACTAAATTCACTCTATCAAAACGCAGCACAGCGAGAAGAAATAATATTGTTCAGACAACATTGAACATGGCACACTGTATGCTCAAAACACGACAAAGTCGCTATGGATGCAAGGATGGCGTTTTGCGAGCACAATCAAAAGCTAAACATTTGAGATGATATTTGGAATTGGAGCCAGTGAAGGTAGTGTTTATCTCAAGATTATAACTGGTACGTTGTTTTAGGTTACACAAAATCCAATGTTTCCCCTCAGACTTCCATAATAACGTTATACTGTCTTAAACATATCCAGGCCTTTAACAGCCAGTACCATATGTGTTTGCCTTAACATGGCAATGTCCCCCGCCGCTAAAGAAGCATGCAAAATAACATATTTACTATCTTTTATCTATTGGTCTACAGTAGATTATCTTTTGTATGATGTAGTTTTTAGTCATGGTCACTTCTCAGAAACTCTGGAGATATTTCAGGAATATAGTAGATTTGAATGCACATATCCACTGTCAGTATCAGTGTGTATTAGGGGTGGGACAGGTCTAAATTTTCTACCCGGGTACCCCACCCCCTATTACCCTACTCTACCCTACCTGATACCCGTTATGTTAATTCCTGACATCAAATTTGTAAGAAATGGCACTACATTCTTCAGTTCGAAGGCTACAATTTCGAGTTTTTCAATGTCTTAACCATGTATTATATTCAAAACAGGTGACTGTGAATAATGTCTAAATCTTCAAAGACAATACAACCTTTCAGTGACTGGAGTCGGCGTAATCATCCAATGTAGGTTGTCACCAAATTTGAAGACATTGGGTACAACAGTTCATGAGATATCGTGTTAACAAGAATCAGGACGTACATACGGACGTACGGGCGGTGCTATATACATATATACAAAAACACAAATTTTGACCAGGTTAACCAATTCCTTTTTCGAATACAGGAAGTTGAACACACAAACCCCAGTTCCGCACCAAATGTTCCGCACCTACTTGAAAATATCCCTGCACACATTCAGCACAGGTCATTTTGCCAAAATACCGGCACTAAATATTGAAAATCATGGTTCGTTTTAAGTACTTGATGGATGTCTATTAAAAACACAACACTCCTCAACAAACAAACAAACAAACAAAAAATAATAATAATCCAATCACACCTGTCAGGTAATTCTGTCTGCAGCGCAGGCTACGGAAGTTGCTTGTTTATCTGAATCACACTTCGGCGCAGTGATGACTTAGCATAACATCACTTCCACAGGCTAATTTGCATATCACGTGACCGGACTTTTTCTCTGTAAACAAACATATGAGAGGGCAGATTTAAGATTTAAGAAGTTTTATATTCTTTTAGTCTTATGTTGAAGGGCCGACAAGTTTCTGTAATATAGCTGCTTCCACAATCACAACTAATTCTGTAGACGCATCTTTTGGGATTGGGTTTAGCCTGGTTGCTGCCGCCTCTGCCGTTTGCTCTCAGCATAGTTTTCAAGCTTTTGTCAGAGTAAAATGTCACATCAACACTGGCAGTTTTTCGAAGAAGTCAGCTGATGTGATGGCTAATCTGAGTTTGGTAGTGAATATTGATTCTGATGGGAGCTGGTTCGGGTTTAGGAGGACGGTCATTTCGTTGGTGGAGGTTGGTGACTATGGTCTGTTCTACAAGTTGAGGGTGATGAAGGTTGTTTTGAGGTGGTCTACTTCATCTTGGAGTTGGGCTGGGTGGCAGATTGCCTTGGCGCGTCTGGTCGAAACTATGGCTCGTTTTATTTGTGGATGGTGTTTGGATAGATAGTGAATATACTGGTCAGAGTGTGTTGGTGCTCTATAGACAGAGGGAGTGATCTTGTCGGAGGAGTTGTCGAGCGATACATCAGGCTGAACCAGTGCCAGAGGATAAGTCATTGTCGGTCGTACATATAAGGATAAATAAACACGAATGACAAACCGCATTCGTCTAATATACATTTAACATTAGCAAGCCATGGTGAAGCACCCATATCATATTCTAGCATTTGTGATAAAACATTGTGAATTATAACTGACATTTTACTTCGATGTACATTAGTAGCAAGTTTAGACCAATATCAAATTATTCGCTATTTAATATTAATACAGAGATAGAAAGGCGTCCAGTCTCTCCATAGGGCATGTAGATTGGTGTACTCTTGCGTAGTTTCAGGAAAGATTACATGAATAACCTGTGAACATATTCTTAAATGTTTATATTTGAATATCCCCCACCTCGTAACCATATAACATGATTGGTAGGACCGTGCAGTCAAAACATTTCTAGCATTTGAGAGGATAACAGGCACTGCTTTTAATGCTTGATAGTGAAGTGCCCAAATAGCTTTTGTGAATTTACGATTTTGGTGAAACTGTATTCCAGGTAGACATAATCGTCAACGGTAAACTTATGTTTTGCTTTTCTTTGCTGGTCCCGTTCCAAAGATGACCACATTGGTTTTGAGTACGTTTACTGTTAACTTCCAATATCTGTGGAAAAACTCCAGGCAGTGTTGTAGTTGTTCCCGGTTGTCAGCTAACAGAACTGTGTCCTCAGCGTATAGTAACAGCATTATCTTCATATTGTATGGAATTGCTTCCACTGTAACTCCTTTACAATGATAATAATTTATATGGATTTCGATGTGGTTTAAAATTAGAGAAAATAATAGTGGTGATAGATGTTCTCTTGCCGGACACCTTTTCACAGCGGAAGAATCCTGCGATTTCATTGTTATATTTGATACAAGATTTGATATTGTCAGACATGTTGAATATTACTGAACATAATTTTCCATTTATTCCATATGAGAGAAGTTTCTGCCACAGTCCAATTTCTCGATCCATTGTCGAAGCCTTATGAAAGTCAATGTATGCAGAGTATCATTTGGTCTTTGTTGACTTCAGTAGATCTATTAGGCTGTTGAGTACAAATATATGGTCTGTAGTAGCGTATCCCTTTCTAAAACCTGCTTGAAAACATCACGTTTCCTTGCTAATCTCTCACTCATCTCATCATGCACAATCTTCACAAAATCATCATGACTATTGCCTATATATGCCTGGTCCTGCACAGACGCTTCTAACCGATTAATCATATCCAACAGTTGTCTACATGTAAAATGCTTGTGGTAACACTTGTTGGAATGGATCAAATATAAAACTGGAATCAATTTAGAACCAAATGTAACACACATCATATTTAGTTACAAAGAAAAAAGAAACGATGTACTAAACTTGATTTTTATTGTTACCAAACATTACATATATACATGCAAATGCCAGACAAAAAGACGCACATAAATGGCGTTAAACTATAACGTCAGTAAGCAGCTTCTCTATACAGATTGTAGATCTGAAATTTTTCATCTCCTTCTAATACCCATGCCACAACCTTTTTACATATTCCTTTTTGTCACACTCTGCCATATTGAAATGTGTGCCATAAAACAGAAACTGTCTTGATCTACAAGGTACGCTATTTGGAAAATGTATGTAGTACATGTTGTGATACCTACAAAAATGAAATAAAGTGATTAAACAAACCCAACAGTTGTTTCAGAGTATGTGGTGGATCAGAAGGTGGATCAGATGTGATAATTTCTCAAAATCCTCAGTTTCAGTATCACAAATTTGAGGGTCCAGTTCTATCATCCAAGGGGCGGTGGGGTAGCCTGGTGGTTACAGCGTTCGCTCGCCACGCTGAAGACCCGGGTTCGATTCCCCACATGTGTACAATGTGTGAAGCACATTTCTGGTGTCCCCGACGTTATATTGCTGGAATATTGCTACAAACGGCGTAAAACTAAACTCACTCACCCCATCATCCAAGAAAGAAAAAAATGATACATTTTCAATAAAACATCCCCGTCAAACATGCCCACGCAACCAGCACTGTTAACTAGCTCAGGCGGACGCAGCACTTTGAAATTGTTACAATTTTCTAAACATTCATATGAAACAAAACAATAATCAATGACGGATGAGCCAAAATTAGAAACATACTTATAAACCTCTGCTGACGCCATCCCTTTGTTTAGCGTCGCACCATCACCTGTCAGTAAGACCCGGACGACACCAAGATAGGTCTATCTGAGACTTAAATACCTCAGTATCTGCCCTACCTGACCCCCTTGCGGTCTTTCTACATGCACCAGGACCTCGTCTTCGTATCTCAACCCTTACGTAAAATCATCCATTCCATCACATCGCCCATTCAACATACACATATCAGATCTCACCAACAAGTCCAAACATAAACTACCGCTGTTGTTTACAACATACTCCACAACATCCCTAACTGGAATAATGTCAACACCTTCAATATAATCTGCCTCGGTGAAGCACCCACTGTTAAAATCACCGCATATGAGAGTCATATTTGCATATTTATATAGTTATGCAAGCAAAATATCATAAAAAATATCGCATATTTCTTGTAGAGGTATCTGGATGCATTTATCAGACATATGTGATTAACACTTCTGTTTACGTTGTTATATCGAGCTTACCAAAGTATACCTTCAAAGGAATTGTCTTTTACTGATACTCAATGCACGTTCAAAAGTTCAAGACCTCCCCCTGCTGACCAAGTGTTGCATCATGCATGTACATGTAGAAGGTCACGATCATGTCTATTCCATGTCCATAGACCGCAAGTCATGGTGACTCACGTGATCACGTCACTTTCAACAAGACCCTGCCTTATAAAAAGGGGAATCATTTATCTGAAGCGACTATACCTGGAACAGACCAGACATCACACACAAGATGCCGACATACAAGCTCAAGTATTTCCAATTCAAAGGTCGCGCCGAGGTATGTCGCCTCCTGTTCGCCTTGGCTGGTCAAGAGTTCGAAGATATCCGCTACAGTCAAGATGAATGGAAAACGGAAAAAAGTAGTGAGTTGAAACCGGTTGAATGAATGGACGTGTTGGTATGTTGTGGTCCTATAGGTCCAAGGTTGCCATTTGTCCCGAGACTATTTTTAAACAAACCGAAACATGAGTCTCATTAACCAATTCAGACAATGACCACCTTTTCAGCCGATCCGAATTTTCTCGTGTGAATGTGAAAAGAGGCACTACTATGGTTACACTGAATTCCACTTCCTTGTTTCATAAGAAAAATGGCATTTACAAATTGATTTTAATTTTAAAGTTTTAAACAATCGTATTTCTATATTTTATGTCGAGGTTTAGGCAGCATGTGGTTAACTAAGACGTCACAGACTGGCCCTGTTAGAAGAGGTCGTACAATGATTCACAATTCATCTGGGTCACTGGTTACACCTGTTATGTGTTCTTTGCGCTTATCAAGTGTATTTTTGTAACGTATAATGTGATTGATATAATATCAAGTCTGTACCACACCGCCAGACTTTTCTAGCGGCCGAGCCTCGTTTTGAGATTTCCACGATTTGCAGATTTCCGTTTGTCAGAGCACGCTGTACGACAGAGCACGCTGCTCGACGTGTTTGCAAGGATTAGATGAAGCGAGGTGTTGCAATATATACAAGTGATTAGATGTATCAAATAATACTGATTAGTATTTATATATCCAGTTGAATGAGTCTCAAAATTCTGGACTGGTTATTGTACTAAGTTGCGCAACAGGACGGAACCCAGTCAGCAGGAAACGAGACTGTTGTGTTTCAACTGTTTTGACTTGCATAACAAGACGCCCAAGTACTGTAATTTTTACGTTTTTAATACTGTAATGTAATATTTTTATTTTGGTGAGTTTCGGTTTGATTGTTGATCTTTTTGTAGACGGCTTTCATATGCCAACCACGTCAGCGAGTCTGACCGCCCAAACAGGTTAGTCACCTCTAACGACAAGGATCAGGATACTAAATCGTTAATCAAAATATCACATAGCTGTGTTGGTATTGAATGTCTTTGTATGTTTGTGTGTATGATGTATAGGAAAGCAAGTGTGTGTCTCTCTCTCTCTCTCTCCCTCGTCTTCCTCTCTCTTCCTCCTCTCTACCTCATCTCTCTCTCCCCTCTATCTGTCTCTCACTCCCTCCTCTCTCTGTGTCTCACTCACCCTCTTTCTCTCCCCTTCTCTCACTCTTTCTCTCTCGCTCTCTCTCTTAATATCTATGTAGGAACCAGATCAATATTCCATCATGGAGAACAGGATTATGCTTAACAATGCTTTGCAAGTTCTTGCGGTGAGGGGTCCATTTCAGTGTGGATAGAACACTACTTTATTTCGGTGACTGCCTGCTTGTCTAGCTATAGTGTCACCTAACTTCGTCCTTGTTACACACATTCCTCTATGAAGTGCTCTATCCAATAAGGAACACCCAGACAATCGACCTTGGCAAGGCCTGCACGTACTATTAGCTGTACATATTTTATAGACAGCCCAACTCTAAGCATGAGTGAAATGCCGCATGTGTCACCGCGCCTCAACACACTCTGCCACTTTCAATTCCAGAATAAATACAATCATACGCTGATCCTTTCGAATACTTCGATCTTCTATACAGAACCGTTGCTATGGACCGATACAAAGTGTTTACATTGCATTCTTAACCAATCAACGCGTGCGCTCGAAATCACGTGACAACGACAAACGTTAGCCCGGAAAATGCTAGATTACTCCTATGAATCAGCAGATTTAACTGGGCCAGATCGCAGAGTGTAAGGTTGCGTAATGTTTTTGTATGTTTTCCGAACACATTTGCTAGTCGGATTTTCTTAATACCATATTGGTATTTTGTTTTTAACAACAATACCACCAAACTGACCTGGTCAGAGAGAAGGCTTTAATACAGGGTCACGTGCATCTTATGTAAACAAAATATTTTAATGTTTAAAAAAAATGTAATTGGCAAGGACAATTACCGACACTAAAGATATATAGTGACGACACTCACAGAACTCATCGAGTTAATCTTTCTGATAGAATGTCTGTTTTACTATAAGATCAATGTAACTGTCAATGGACTTTGCACTGATCAAGAACGCATCAACGGTGCCCTCATTGACTATATTTGCAAGTACTTTATGTTCCTTTCAGTTCAGCGGCCCGATTCTGTGGTGTAGTGGTTAGAGCGTCCGCCCGGAGAGCGGAAGGTCGCGGGTTCGATCCCCGACCGCGTCATACCAAAAGACGTTAAATTATGGTACTGGTTGATCCCTGTCTGGCGCTCGGTATTAATGGGTACAACAAGGACTGGTCGGCTCGGAGTCAGTATAATGTGTCTGAGTGGTGTTTTCAAGCTTCACTGCGGCATGGTATCTCAGTGGGATAGCACTATTAAACCAGATTAAGTCTTGGCAAGTACAAGCAGCCGCACATACACATACACACGCATGCACGTCGTCATATGAGCGAAATATTCTCAAGCACGACGTTAAACCCAATTTCACCTCACCTCACCTTCAGTTCAGCGTGATTCCTTTGTTTGTATATATTTTACGCCTCACCCAGCCACATTCCAGCCACATGACGGCGGTTTGTAATGTAATCAATCCAGTGATTGATATCATGAGCATCGATCTACGCAACTGGGATACAATGACATGCGTCAACCCAGTCAGCGAGCCTGACCAGCTGATCCCGTAAGCCACCTCTAACGACAAGCACTAGGTTGCTGAAAACTTTCAGCATGAATCGGTTTAATTATACAATGTCAGCATAAAGGGACTTTGAATTAGAACTATTTGAATATATTTTTCTCTTTGAATTAAGATTTTGAATCACGTTCAGAATGGATATAAATGCAACTGTTTAATCCTTTCATGTTACTAAAGAAAAGAGTCTTTATGAACGCCATTTACGAATATATCTTTCATACGCAATAAACATCGATAGAGTTAAAATAGACATTCATCGTTAATTAAAGTCCATCTTGTTATATATTCATGACAGCTTTTTTCATATTTGAGGCAAGAAATTCGAAATCCGTTGCGTGCGCTTAACGGTTTGCGCTGTGGCATGGTAAAGAAGATGTGAGGCTTTAATACTGTCTGTGGCTTCTTTTAAAGGAAACGTTGCCACAAGCTGCATCGGAAGCCTGTCTTCAACATGCACTAGGCTGTTGTGTTTGGGCGTTTAAATCAAAAATGGTGCTGGTGTGTTTCAGCACCCTGGTTTTTCGCTGTTTTTAACAATGTTTCATTTCACTCAAACTCTCAAACTCGAGGAACCCATGCTCGGAGAAGTAATCCTTCATAAATGAACTTTCAAGTACAAGGGGGCGGTGGGGTAGTCTAATGGTTAAAGCGTTCGCTCGTCACGCCGAAGACCTGGGTTCGATCCCCACACGGGTACAATGTGTGAGGCCTATTTGTGGTGTTCCCTGCCGTGATATTGCTGGAATATTGCATAAGCGGCGTAAAACTCACTCACTCCAAGTACAAAAGCGATGCGTTCTAAACATTGCATTCTAAGCGTATTTGAAAACTTTTTCGCCCTATGTTTCAGACGTTCCTTTCGGACAGATACCAATTCTCGAAGTGGATGGGAAGTCTTACAGTCAGAGCAGCGCCATTTGCAGCTTCCTGGCAAGAAGATTCAGTAGGGATTCAAGCTAATTCTTTCTGCAATAGTTGTATGTTATTTAACGCTGCCGGACTCAGCAATTGTTCAGTTATATGAATGCGGTCTGTGACTAATCAAGCCTGGAATAGGGCACCCAGTGATTGACATCATGAGCATCGATCTACGTAATTCGGATACGATAACATGTATCAACCAAATCTGTGAGTCTGACCACCCGATTCCCTTACTTATGATACGTATTGGTTACTGAAGACACATTCCAAAAGTGTGTTACGATTATACGGATAATACTTTATATTTTCCTTAATAATATTCTTAACTTCAGTTTACCCAGATGCATATTTCGTTTGTATTCGTGACAGGGTACACAAGATAGTTTGAAGCTGGTTATTGCTGTTCTAACTGTGAGTGTTGTGTTGTAGAATTATATGGTACGGGAGACATCCAAGCCCTTGAAGTGGATCAGGTCCTGGGTGTAGTCCAGGATATATCAAATACCGTGATCAAAGCCTTTTTTGAGAAGGATGAAGCCAGGAAGGTTAGCTACAGTGCCTTGACTCGTCAGCATCTTATATACTTCGGCCCCGTGCGTCTGCCTCTACAAGAGAAGAGTTTGTAGCTCGATAGACGACGCGGGGGGTTGTGGGTGTGTGTGTGTGTGTGTGTGTGTGTGTGTGTGTGTGTGTGTGTGTGTGTGTGTGTGTGTGTGTTCTCATGTTAAACTGCTGCGTGGTGTTTCTAAAAGCTTGCACGATGAACATTAGTACGGGCTGCTAGTAGAAGCAGCTAAATGCACACACAGAAACACACCCGCACGCACGAAATAATAATGAACTTGGCGTTAAACCCCATCTCACATCGCCTATACGGCGGGTAAAGGGAGATGGGACAGGAGGTTTGGTTCCAAAGCCCATGCATCTCAGAACCGTATCTTAGTTCTTCGGTTTCAACGGTGTGCCAAAGGGGTTTGATTCCCCACATGGGTACAATGTGTGAAGCCTATTTCTGGTGTCCCCCGCCGTGAACATCGTCGGCTGCTAACAGCGGCGTAAAACTTAACTCACTCAGTCACCAAATGCTTCCTCCTTGTACCTTTATTAACATGGGGGAAACGCACGGGAAAAGTTTTGATAATATATACTCAGTCTGTCATAAATATATTAAAACTTTGTGCGTTTCCCCCATGCAATGTGTAATGCCCAATTCGGTTGTCCCAAGTCGTGATATTGCTGGAATATTGCTGATATTGCTAAAGCCATACTCACTCACTTTAAGGAATTTGTGTTGGATCTGAACAGGCGCAGTTCATGAAAGAGAACAAAGAAGAAAAGCTGCCGCAGTATTTTGGGATGCTGGAAAAGCTTCTGGAGAAAAACGGAAGTACAGGATTCTTCGTCGGCAAATCGGTAACCACATGTCAAATTGTCCTTCTTCAAAACCCACATGAATCTTCATCTTCACATGCAAACAGTAAACTCCGTGTACAGCGAACTTGATTGTAACGAACTGACGGATATAAGGACCTGCTGTTTTTATTTGTCGTATAACGAACTACGGTTATAACGAATAAAAATTAGCGGCCCCTTGGAGTTCGATATAACAGTAGTTTCTGTATATTATTACAAACTAAATCGATTCTGTTCTTATCATATCAATAATGGTTGTAGTACCATTCCGCCAGCTGATGAAACACACAATCCTAAATTTCAGGTAAAGGCACTTCATATTTATAAAAAACTTGTTTCTGAAATTGTGAAATCAAATTTTTAGAATAACTTTGGGAATAAGTCCGTGAAGATCCGGATTAGAGTCTATGTTCGGCAACCCATGCCTGTCGTAAGAGGCTAACGGGCTCGTATATGGAGGCTTGCAAAGTGGTTCAATCATCATCTTATCCTACTTACGTAGATCAGTGCGATATCAGTCACGATATCAATCATTTGATTGTCTGGTCTACTATGGTGTCTTACAATTAAAATGTTAGTGTGGCGTTAAACAAAATATGTCATTGAACCCAGTGCGCTAGCTTCTGGTAAAAACTGATTAATGAGAATCGTATGGATGACCTCGTTGTTGGTATGTCATTGTAACCCAAGAGCGGCGATTGTTCTTCATATTATCAACCACTGGTCCATGGCATTGCTAGAAAGCCAACGAAACTTGAGAAAATGGTTGTAATCATTCTTCATGAGAATAGTTCAAGCAGACAAGGTACCGGTTGCACAAAGCGACAGGTACCATATCTGGGTTGGAGACAATGAAGTTGCGATCATCTTAGTGCTGAGATCGCTTAGTACATGTGGGCAGTGTGTGAAATAGCCACTGGCCCGGTAGCCCGTGGCTAGTAAAAATCCATTCGGGCAATTAAATCTTCACAGTCACTGGCCTTACTGGCTGGAGAATTTTCATGCGGACATTAATTTTTGTAAATATATCAATCTCTCCGACTTGATAAGTTATAACACATTTTTCAACCATGCAAGATTATGGTACGATACAAATGTTCATCATATTACCAGCTTAATAATGAAACCAGTGTCATGGCGACAATATCTTATTCTCATCTATTTTTGTGATCTTTGGCTTAGTTTCCACATTCAATTTTCGGGCTAGTGAATTATTTTGTGGGCTAGTAACTTTCAGGCATAGCTATCCCGACTGGCTAGCAAAACTGGGCCCCAGTGGGCCACTCGTGCAAGTGGACCCAACAATATATATGTACTCTGTTTTCAGATTACCCTTGCTGACGTCACTGTGTTTGACATGTGCGAAAAGATCCAAGCAATGGTGGACTTAGACAAGTTCCCTCTGGTCAAGAAATGCCGGGAAAATGTAGCTTCTAACCCCAAAATCAAGAAATGGCTTGACACGAGGCCTGTTACAGAAGGCTAGTTAAGTGACATCCACAAAGACCATATAGAAACGCTATTTTTTATATATTCATTCGTTTTACACAAATCGCTGCATGAATCATACATCTATGCTGTATGTTTTAGTAACTGTATTGATCCTGTTATTGCAAATAATTCACGTTCATGGGTGACAAGTACCCACTGTGCTGCAATTAAGCATGAAAAAGTTTACTGTTGAAATTTGGTGTCCCCGACATTCCTTAGTGCTGTAGACGATATTCTATAGAAAGATGATTCAATGTTTTATGATTTTGTGTTCCTCATGTACAAAATATTGTTGTACATGTTATTATGAGAAACATGTTTTCAACATTTACAAATAAAGGTTTTCAAAATTGTTGATTTTTCTGCTTGTAGTTGTATCGTTTGCGTGTGTGCGTGCGCATGTGCATATGCGTGTGTGCGCGCGAATATGTGCTTGCTGATTTATTTTAACAGTCTTACAAGAAAACCATAGTCATTTACACAGACTGGAAGTAATTCCGCTTTGAAATGAATTTCCAGTACATCGTGAAATAACAGTATTTTTATCATAAAAAATCAATTTTACATATAATTCGCAATAGGATGTAAATGATGTGTATTTTTTAATGTCACCTCTGAGTGATACACTTAAAGGGGGAGCATTTACAGATGTCAACTGCGGCATTAAAAGACCTTTCCGTTTTATAAATATCTATATCAATGGTGTCTATCAAAACGAAACAGAAAAAAAGAATCACTTTTATACAGAGTTATGTCCCTTGTCATGGTCCGAACATGGCGCATTGTATGCCCCAAACACAAGTTTTCTCAGAAGTCTCTATGGATGCAAGGATGACGTTTTGCAAGCACAATAAAGAAAGATAAACATTTGAAATAATAATTTGAAAAACAAATCAATTTTGGCTAGGTTAACGAATTCCTTTTCCGAATGCAGGAAGTTGAACACACAAACCCTAGTTCCGCACCAAATGTCACCTATTTCAAAATTTCTCACACGTTCAGCATAAGTCAGTTTTTCAAAAATCCAGCACTAAATATTGAAAAATATGGTCCGTTTTAATTACTTTAATTACTGGATGTCTATTAAAAAACACAACACTCCTCAACAAAAAAAAAATAAACAAACAAATAATAATAATTCAATTACACCTGTCAGGTAAATCTGTCTGCAGCGCAGACTACGAAAGTTACCTGTTAAGCTGAATCACACTCTCGCGCAGTGATGGTTTAGCATAACATCATTGCCAGAGGCTAATTTGCATATCACGTGACCGGACATTGCTCTTGTTTGTAAAGACCCGCGCATATTAATCATATTGTTTTACATCGTTATATAGATAAGTGCGACAATGAGGCTGATGACAATAGTTTAAATGTACTGTATTCCCATAATGCCATTCAAGGACTCCAGACGTCCTTAGAATAGTGAGAGTGAGAAAGAGAAAAGTGTCTCATGATGTGGAACGAAATATATAGACATGATATGATACGTTAAAAACAGCACCCGACCAGTTGGTCTACGAGACACTTATTACTTGATAGTACATATAATATATAAAAGTGGATAAAATACATACATACATACATACATACATACATACATACATACATACATACATACATACATACATATATTCCAGCTATATGGCGGCGGTCTGTAAATAATTGAGTCTGGACCAGACAATCCAGTGATCAACAGCATGAGCATCGATCTGCGCAATTGGGAACCGATGACATGTGTCAACCAAGTCAGCGAGCCTGACCACCCGATCCCGTTAGTCGCCTCGTACGACAAGCATGGGTTACTGAAGATCAATATTCTAACCACAGTCCATTCAAGATTTTGTCTTTAACCTGTTTTATCTATAAACATCAGGTTACTATCTAGGCAGTAAAAAACGTATTCATGCTCTACACAAGTTAACGTGCTATTTCCGCCATATAGCTGGAATATTGCTGAGTGCGGCGTAAAACTCAACTCAACTAACGTCCTATTTATTGTTGAACTTGAAAATCGGAATATGTAGGCACTTTGTGAGAGTGATGTCCCTTTGTTGACACGATACATGCATGTTGTTAATATTGACCGTCAGCTATTTTAGATCATAATGACATCCCCGCGCGTATTTATGACAAACTAATAACCTATTAGTAATCTACTCGTATCTTCTGTTTAATATGATATTCTGAATTGCAATCTAAAAAAACGATAGGTCGGCCCGTGTAAAATTATGAAAACAACATAAACATTCACATTGTACGAGTGAACATTTAAAAACACTTAAAAGTAATATTATCGTATTAAGTTTACAAATTAATTTGTCATGTATGTATGTTTCTTGAATGAAGTCGAAATTGTCGCAACGAAGCACACAGCTGACGTCATCATTCTGCCGGGACTCGACTTTTATTCGAGATATGCGAGTTTGTTGTTCTTATACAAAGAGAAAAATCACCTGATATTGAAATTAGCCTGTGGCAGTGATGTTGAAGTGATGATGAAAAGTCACCACTGCGCCTATGTGTGTAAATGATAGACGGTAAAGGGTTAAAGAACTTACCGGTGAATACAGGTTACAACTAACCGAGAATTGCAAATCATTGCCTATTAACAAGTCACGTGAGTCACGTGATCACAACAAGCTTCAGCGCACACGACCCAGCCTTATAAAGGGAGACGATAGTTCATGTGAACTCAAACGTCAAGTCATCTGAAGCGACGATAACTGGAACAGACCAGACATCACACACAAGATGCCGACATACAAGCTCAAGTATTTCCAATCGAAAGGTCGCGCCGAGGTATGCCGCCTCCTGTTCGCATTGGCTGGTCAAGAGTACGAAGATATCCGCTACAGTCAAGATGAATGGAAAACGGAAAAAAGTAGTGAGTTGAAACCGGTTGAATGAATGGACTTGTTGGTATGTTGTGGTCTTATAGGTCCAAGGTTGCCATTTGTCCTGAAACTATATTTAAATCATAACAAGGCACCCAAGAGCTGTGCATTTTATTGAGTTTCTGTTTGAGGTGGATTGTTGGTCTTTTTGTAGACGGCTTTCACACATGTATGTCAAGCACGTCAGCGAGTCTGATCGCGCAAACAGGTCAGTCGCCTCTTACGACAAACATGGGGTGCTGGAAATCAACAACCCGGATCTTCGCGCGGGTGGGTGGGGGTGGAGGGGGTGGGGACAGCTCTTTTATAATAACTCGCATATTATCTAACTCGTGATGGATAAATCCTTGCATATTTCTGTTGCAGGTTTATTGTTGATTTTTGTTTTGTTTTTGTCAACGTTTGTTTATCATCTAACGTACCATCAATACAGTCCAGTATATTGACCAGATGTCCGAAGAAATGTGCGTTAGCGTAAAATATAAAATAGAAACATAAGATATGATTCATATATAGTTCAGATGTGTTGCATTACATAAATATGTCTGTCATTTAAAATGTGAAAACATCCTGGTTGTATATCAAGCCGGATAGATCTAACTGGTTTAAACTGGTTTTGCTTTCACAATAAACATAAATTTCATAGTCATTGTACACGATTGAATCACTAGCACAATCAATATCAAACTGCGTGCTTATAAATACCAATGACAGCTATGTAAAACAGTAGAAGAAGACAGTGTTTATTTACTGAATGATCTGTTTGCCAGGGGCGTAGCTACCACTATAAAAAAGCCCGGGCTTACACATGATTGTTGCTAAAAAGGTTGGGGCAAGTCTTCAATACTATCTAAATAAAAACCTTTGCAACCTATCGGGCTTACACGAAAAAGGGCTTGCTACGCGCCCGTTTGCTGTTTCACAAACTCATCAACATTCCTATATAAGAACATCCAGGCCTAACAATCCAGTGATGTTTATCTATCTACGCTGTTGGGATACGATGACTACCCGATCCCGTTAGTCGCCTCTTACGACAAGCATGGGTTACTGAAGACCAACCCGAATCCGGATCTTATTTGCATTACCTTACCTAGTTTACATGAGCAGACCTACATTGAATAATGAATAGAGGCTGTGCGTCTCGCTCGCTGTAACTTGTATGTTCATAATACTATGTATATCGATCGCTGTTGCGACATGTGTTACAAGCCACCTGAAACAGCATTATAGCGTGTGAGTGAGCATAGGCAACGAGCCAAACCCTGTTTAAAAAAACAACAACCCCGCAAACACCAAAACACCCCCACCCCCACGCAATCCCCCACCCCCACCCCCACACAAATAAACAGTCCCCAAAAACACAATATCAATTATATTATCTGACAGGTTCCTAGGTCTACATTTAAAGTATTATATTTAACAAAGTGATTTGTTGACTAATAATATTCTCATAATTTACTCATTAATGGTTTTCAAACGGATTATTGGTAAACGGTCAACATATACCTAAGCCGTCAAAACGTGTATGTGTCGTAGGCTATGATAATGCAAACATCATTGTGCTAATACAGGACCTTTCTTGTTCTTTTACTTCAACCAATCTACCTCTTCTCCTAATGAATATTCATGTTTCAGACACGCCATTTGGTCAATCAATCTACCTCTTCTTCTAATGAATATTCATGATTCATACACGTCACTAGTCAACCAATCTACCTCTCTTTCTTATGAATATTCATGTTTCAGAGACGCCATTTGGTCAGCTTCCAGTGTTGGAAATTAATGGAGAACCGTATGGGCAGAGTTCAGGAATAATCGCCTTCTTGGCCCGAGAGTTCGGTATGTACTATGTGCACGGTATTTAATACTATTTATACAGTTATTAATTAATTTAGCACTACAGGTCGTGTTCTGGCAACAGTTTAACCAACACCAACACCAAACAAAACGAACCATTAAGGACTTGTGATCGTGTTATCCATTCTCCGATATTCACTCAAACAAACATGTATTTTCCTTTCCATCATTGGGGAATATAATCATCATACTTCTATATCCACTTCAGTACATCCCGTGGCTATCTTCGTGGTCAAGTCGATAGTACATTAATTTGTGGAAATAGGCTGTTCGATTCCCGACGATTCGTAACAGATGTATAAATAATGGTAACTGTTATTGCCTTGCCTTTCGTTCGATAGTAAAGGGATAAAAGTCGAGGCACACACACACACACACACACACACACACACACACACACACACACACACACACACACACACACACACACACACACACTTCATTCATCTACGAGTATACGCTGCTCTGTTACTTAGCACAGACTTGTAGTATGATTTGTTTGTTGTTGTTTATCCATATCCCTGCTACATGACACAGGTCTGTAAATATTTGAGGTCAGACCAGACAATCCAGTTCCGTGTTGACATGAGCATCAATACATCGGCCATGATTCCACGTGTCAGCGGTGGTCTGTAAATAATCGAGTCTGGACCAGACAATCCAGTGATTAACAGCACGAACAGCGATCTACACAATTGGGATATGATGACATGTGTCAACCAAGTCAGCAAACCTGACCACTCGATCCCGTTAGTCGCCTATTACGAAAGAGCTGGCTTGCTGGAGATCGACTTTAACCCGAATCCAAGATAGCTTTGACATGAAGGGGGGAGTAGGTAAAAGTCAAACCATTTTGACTACCACTGCTAACATCAAACTACTGCAACAAGTGCAGAACAGTACTGCTAGGATGCTGACTGGAACCAGGGAACTGACCATATTACCCTCGTCCTGAAATCACTTTGCTGGGTACCCGTAGAGCACTTCATCACTTTCAAGACTCTTTCACGTATTCAGCCATAAATGATGAAAACGCCCCAGCCAATATTAGGGACATGTTACATCGCAACCAACCAACACGAGCGTTAAGATCAGCCGATGATAAACTGCTTTAAGTTCTAGAACTAAAACAAAGATGGGAGAAGTGGTTCTGTGCTTTGCAGCTCAAAAACGTTGGAATGCTCTACCACTGGAAATCTGAAGACTCTGAAGACTTATCTCTGTTCCGCTCTCAGTCATATGTAATCTGGAAACCAGGCGGTATACAAATCAATTATCATTCATTCATTTACTTTTGTAATTATATTTTATTGCCAGGTATTCATGGAAAAACTAGCCTGGAGCAGCTGAAGGTGGACCAAGTGATGGGCATCATACAAGACATCTACACACACATGCTGAAACACTTCTATGAGAAGGATCCAGCCAAACAGGTGAGCCCTAGGACCAACACTGGGTCAGTATGGCTTCACGCCCATTTTAGCAATATTACAGCTATATCACGGCGGGGGACACTAAAACACTTTGTACCCATGTGAGGATACGAACCAAGACCTTTGGCATAACGGATGAACGTTTTTACCACTTGCCTGTCCGCCGGCCGTTAAGCGACAATGAAACATTACCACCATATGACATTTTAAGTGCTTTATTGGGATGACTGTAGTCAGTGTGATATATTGAACCCGATAACTGCTTACAACGACACGGGGGCGGTGGTGTAGCCAAGTGGTTAAAAAGTGCTGAAGACTCGAGTTTGATTCCCTATATGGGTACAATGTGTGAAGCTCATTTCTGGTGTTCCCAGCCGTGACATTACTAGAATATTGCTAAAAGCGGCGTAAAACTAAAATCACTCACTCACACTCACACTACGACATGATGTTTTTCTATATTGAAAACTTACTGCAATATTCAGCCTCGGAGGCGGTCTGTAAATAACTGAATCTGGATAATGAAAACGAGTGAGTGGCATCAAGAGCATTGATCCCAGCAATACAAAGTCTCACCATGATCACTGATCGTGCCCACCCCTTTCAGTCAGTCACGGACACGTGTCACCGTATCCCAGTTGCGTAGATCAATGCTCATGGTGTTGACCACTGGATTGTCTGGTCAAGACGGCGTTAAAAACAACAAACAAACAAACATCTAGACACGACAAACATACATGTGGAGTGCTGAGATTGTATGTTGAGAAATATGTAAACTCTTCTTTTGTTGAAACGACCTGATTAATCATAATCGCCATTGGAAGATGTGGCACCAATACGTCATCATGAGTATAATATAGCATCGTTTTTTTCAGGCGGAGATACTCAAGGAAAACAACAAAGATCATTATCCAAAATACCTGGGCTTTTTTGAGTCCATTTTGAAGAAGAATGGTAGCGGATTCTTCGTGGGAAATAGGGTAAGTACACGCACATCGGCTGCAGTCAAAAACGGTTGTGTCGAAGTTAAAGCGAACTGCGCGAATACTTCGAGATACCCGAAGTTCGACACAACCGGAAATGAAGAATTAGCAGGGACAATATTTTGACTTTGAGATACCCGAAGTTCGACACAACCGAAAAAGAGAGAATTCGCAGGGACTATATTTGACTTCGAGACAACCGCACCTTCGACACAACGGTGTTTGTACTAGTTTTTGACCAGCAAATTGTAGACATAAGTGTACTCTCTCCTTAAAAACACATATGAACTAAATAAGATCTAGTACAGTAAAACACTGTTGTGTCGAAGTTAAGGGTCCAGCGTAAATAATTCGTGTTATACTAGGTTCGAGATGCAAAAGGATGACTAAATTGACAGCTTTGTTCAACACAAACGTGTTTAATAGCATTTAATATAACATTTGGAAACTGATACAACGCCTTGTTACTTGTTTTTGTCAGACATTATGGACAGCTGTGCTTTTATCTTCCATTTTGACAAATGCGAAAGAATGTAGCGACCTTAGCTATTGCTCGATCACTTAATCTCCATATTCACCAATCGTTGATAGGTGGTAACTAGTGTTAGGAATTGGTTAAAATCTCATAATTGATGATTGGTTCATTACAACCGTTCAATCATCGAAAGTAATTGGTTTGCGTCATTTATGAAATTTTCCTGGTTATTTTTGTTTTCACAAAAAACATTAAGTAAAAACATGTAGTTCTTTGTGTGTGTTTTTTTTGCAAGTTGCACATCTTTAAAGGATGACTAGTATGTTAGGAATATACATTTCTTGGGGTCCTTAAGATAAATTCAATGGAACGAGCTTGTAGTGTTAATGAAATGTAACAGACAAAACCACCCTTGTGAAAAATTGTTAATGCAAAAAGTGTTCCAGAATTGTTTGTATTCGATTACGAGAAAACATGATCGATTGCTTGGTCGTTTAGTCACTGCGACCAATCCTCGATTATTTCAATTAATCGGACCACTACTAAAACAGGCATAGCTTAACATAGGCGGATCCAGGAATTTTACTAATCGATAGTCATTTTCAAATATGAGCATCAAGAAGTTTATTTTACCCCCATTGTTAAAGGTTCGTTTACAACTCTTCCAGATAACCCTGGCTGACATTGCTGTGTTTGACACCCTCGACGGGAAGATTGACGCCAGTTTAGTAGAATCTTTCCCGCTGATCAAGGAAAACTGCAAGAAGGTCCGCGCAAACGAGAAAATAGCACAGTGGTTGGACAAACGTCCCAAAACAGCCTACTAGTTACGGCCAAACTCATATCGTCTACAGAGGCGGTGGGGTAGCCCAGTGGTGTAAGTGTTCGCCTGTCATCGAAAGCCCAGGTTCGATTCCCGAATGGGTTCAATGTCCGGCGACCGTTGCTTGTGTCCCCGCCGTGATATTGCTGAGATATTGTTAAACACGACTTGCAACGTTACTATCTCTCTCCTGCGTCACTATGATAACATCTGCTAGGCTCAGAGTTTAGGGCTGCCGAACCTTTACCGTTTCCAAGTCACAGAGGGTAAAGCAGAAACTGTCTTTCTTTTTGTTTTTGGTACTAAATTTCTCTGGATGGCGACTAAAAGTGTTCGGAAGCTATTTAATGCTTCGAGTTGCATATGTCGCAAAGTATGTAAGATTTGTGGCGAAAACTGAACAATATGCACAACTATGTTTCTTAACGAAAATAAAATATTTTAATAGCTGGACTAAGTGTATCTTGTGAATGCGTATTGATACTGTTACTACACTTCATGTTACCGTAGTTTCTTGTGTTATAACTGCAGGCTTCCTGGCCGGTTAGACCATAAGTGTTGATACTGTTACTACACCTCACGTTACCATGGTTTCTTGTGTTATAACTGCAGGCTTCCTGGCCGGTTAGACCATAAGTGTTGATACTGTTACTACACCTCACGTTACCATGGTTTCTTGTGTTATAACTGCAGGCTTCCTGGCCGGTTAGACCATAAGTGTTGATACTGTTACTACACCTCACGTTACCATGGTTTCTTGTGTTATAACTGCAGGCTTCCTGGCCGGTTAGACCATAAGTGTTGATACTGTTACTACACCTCACGTTACCATGGTTTCTTGTGTTATAACTGCAGGCTTCCTGGCCGGTTAGACCATAAGTGTTGATACTGTTACTACACCTCACGTTACCATGGTTTCTTGTGTTATAACTGCAGGCTTCCTGGCCGGTTAGACCATAAGTGTTGATACTGTTACTACACCTCACGTTACCATGGTTTCTTGTGTTATAACTGCAGGCTTCCTGGCCGGTTAGACCATAAGTGTTGATACTGTTACTACACCTCACGTTACGTTACCATGGTTTCTTGTTGTTATAACCTCACGTTACCATGCAGGCTTCCTGGCCGGTTAGACCATAAGTGTTGATACTGTTACTACACCTCACGTTACCATGGTTTCTTGTGTTATAACTGCAGACTTCCTGGCCGGTTAGACCATAAGTGTTGATACTGTTACTACACCTCACGTTACCATGGTTTCTTGTGTTATAACTGCAGACTACACCTCACGTTACCATGGTTTCTTGTCTGGCCGGTTAGTTACTACACCTCACGACCATAAGTGTTGATACTGTTACTACACCTCACGTTACCATGGTTTCTTGTGTTATAACTGCAGGCTTCCTGGCCGGTTAGACCATAAGTGTTATTGATACTGTTACTACACCTCACGTTACCATGGTTTCTTGTGTTATAACTGCAGGCTTCCTGGCCGGTTAGACCATAAGTGTTGATACTGTTACTACACCTCACGTTACCGTAGTTTCATGTGTTATAACTGCAGCAATCTCTGCCCCTGCTCCCTTTTTAAATCCAAATTGAAAGGGGTGTGGACAGTCTTTGTATTCTTTTGCCCACTTTTCAATTCTACAGAACAGAAGCCTTTCAAATAATTTACCAGTGACGGAAGGAAGCGTAATCCCTCTATAATTAGAGGGATTACCCTTACTTTTACCATGGCCTTTATTTACTGGTAAAATGCAACCAATATTAAACATCTGCTGAACATATTCATATGAAACAATATCGTTATACAACGTAAGGATATGAGGAAATAGCGATCTTCCCGCACGTTTAACATGTTCATTAAAGATGCCATCTGATCCAGGGGATTTACCACATTCTAAACGTTTAACAGATACAAACAGTTCATCATTGTGGAAGGGGCATAATAATAGTGGATTTACATTTTTGTGACAATAACTATGGTCTTCTTTGGATGACAAGATATCACCAACAAAATTATTAAATGCTCAGTAAAAGATATATCAAATGATTCATCATGATATGGTTGCAATAGGTCGTTAAAGTACTGACCAAACAGATTACATATATCCTCCTGTGTGTCGCACGAGTCACCATTGTAATATAAAACTCGTATATGATCTTTATTGCGTTTGTTACGCTTTGTAACTCTGAGATATTCTTCTATGTCAACTTCAGCAGCTTCATATATATACTGAGTCTCAAAAGAAATGTCGCACTGATAGGGGTTTCTTAAAGCACACACTTTAATTCACTCTAATTAACAATCAAAACAGAGGACTGAGTTCAAACTTGACAATTATGGTTAACACATTTTCGGGAATCACATTTAGAGCTCACACAAGCAAATCACCAAAAATGGTACCATTAAGATACCCCAAAGACAGTATCGTGTGTGGCGTCTATGGGCATCGATGAAATCGTTGCATCGTCTGTACATGGAATGAATTAGCCGGTCGATGAAGGTCATACGCACTTGGGTCCATACTCTGCGAAATGCCTGATCGAGTCTAGCCGTAGTTGTCGGCCTTGGTTGGAGTCCATTCAGTCTTCTTTGAATCTCGTCACAAAGATGTTCTACTGGACTTAAATTCAAGAGTGCAAGATTTTGTAGGGTTTGGATGCCATGCTTTCTTATGAAGTCCAATGTTGCTTTGGCACTGTAGGCACGATCGTTGTCTTGCTGGAAGATGTGATTTCTGTAACGTCTAAAATGTGGTACAACGTGGGGTTTTATGACTTAATCGACATAGCGAGCAGCTGTCATGTCATTTCCTCATCCTGGACCAAGATTCTGGAACACCACGGTATTAAGTAACTGGTTCAGACCGATTGCACCTCACACTATGATGCTTGGACCACCCCACGACTCTCTTTCAACAATACACTCATTGGAAAACATTTCACCACGCCCTCGCCATACTCTCACTCTGCCATCGACTGTCGAAACACAGTATCGGCTTTCATGAGATAACAGCACAGTTGTCCATTGTCGATAACGCCAATTTCGATGCTGAGTTGACCATTTTGGTCGGTTTTGGCGGTGATGAGCGGTGAGGACAGGACTACGATATGGTCTGTGACAGCAGAGGTTTCTTCCGCGCAAACGTCCACGCACTGTATCGACACTGATGGGTCTGTTGTGAGTCCAAATGGTCTGCCCTGCTGTTTCCGTCGCTTTGGGGAAGCGATCCTGCAGATGGTTGCGCACAGCCTTCCATTCTTGACGTTGTGATGTTACTGAAGGTGGCCCACTTCGTGGACGGTCTTGAATGCTGTTAGTGACCTGATACCACCCCTGCTGTCCTAACATGAACATTAAAATGATCGTCTACCCTCCATGCAGTCTGGACAACTTGCAACCGTCCCACGACTTGGTTACTCTGATTTCTCGTAAGACGTGGCATGGTGGTTGTGTCAAAATAAAAATTATTTCAGGCGAGTTTGGGACTCGCTTTCATGTCACGACATGCACGTGCATTTTCTTTTTCACGAATGTCATACGGAACCTTTTACCATATGTCTGCCTTTTTCTGTGCGTTTGGTCCATATGCTGTTTCATCAGAAAACACACTGATGTTGGTAATAACTGTCAATTTGGATTGAAAAACATGTTAAGAAAACGGTACAATCATAATAAAAACACAACCTTGCAAGAACAGAATTGCGCATTTGGTTTTGAAAAGCGACGTTTCTTTTGTGATTCAGTATATCTTGATATTTATCATTTTGGAATTTACTTTTGGAATGATGATGATGTTTTCTAAATATACGCTTCACTTGTTTATATTTTACATAATATACATCGTCACTATTGCGTGGTTTTCCATGTGAGACCCATTCTTTATGAGCAACTCGCATTGAATTATGGTTATGTTTTAGATTATGGTTTTTCCAGTAAGGTTTCAAATGGGATTGGAAGTTTGCTGTCGGGATAAAATTTCAGCTGAAGCGTGAAGTGACTTGACTATGTAATCAAGATAATAATAATCGCTTTAGGGGAGGAAAAACCATTTACACTGAAAGAGACGTTTCTGAAATAGTTCTCAGTCTCATACCTATATAACATAAAGTCAATGTCACTGGCTTTCCTCCAGTTTACACGAGCGTTACCACAGGACCGATGACGAGCATCTGTAGCTAAGTATACCTGTATGGGATAGTGGTCAGATATACTGAAAGGCTGACGGTAATCTATGGCGTAACCAATAACATTACATCTATGCCCTGTGTTGACAAAAACAATTAATCATAGTTTGGATATCCCTACATTAGCTTGTATAAGTATGTAAAATAGGACTCACAGAGAGGGGAGAGTGACAGAGAGAGACAGAGAAGAGGGAGAGAAAGGGGGAGATGAGAGAGAGAGTGAGAGAGACAGAGACAGAGAGAGTGAGAGTGAGAGAGAGGCAGAGAGATATGTGGGGGAGAGAGAGGAGAGGGAGAGAGTGAGAGCCAGAGAAAGTGAGAGTGAGAAAGACAGAGAGAGAAGAGTGAGAGAGAGAGAGACACGGGGAGAATCGAGAGAGACGGATATAGCGGAGGGAGAGAGGGAGGCACAGAGAGAGAGGAGGGAGAGAGAGACACAGAGAGAGCGGAGTGAGAGCAAGAGTGAGAGAGAGACAGAGAGAGATAGGAGGGAGAGGGAGAGGAGTGAGAGCGAGAGACAGAATGAAGAATGAGAGAGAGACACAGAGATAAGGGACAGAGACGGAGGGAGGAGGAGAGAGAGACAGATAGAGAGAGGGGGAGAGAGAGACAGTTAGAGAAGAGTGAGAGAGAGAGACAGAGGAAAAGGGGAGAGAGAGGCGAGACAGACAGAGCGGAGAGAGACACAGAGAGAGAGAAGAGAAACAGAGAAGAGTGAGAGAGACACAGAAAGGAAGAAGAGAGCGGGAGATAGAGAGAGAGAGAGAGGGATAGAGAGAGACAGAGAGAGAGGAGGGAGAGGGAGACAGACAGAGAGTTTTGGGAGAAAGCGAGAGAAAACCTTTGGTCTACCCAGTCACCCAACCCACAAACAAGCTGAGACGGGGAGGTACCAGTTCTTTAGTCCCAAGAAAAACGCTTACTCATGTATCATCATCATCATCATCAAACTCTTTATTACGTATGAAGGCCACAGGCCCATATACATATTAATATACATATTCGAAACAGGTATGAAAACAGGAAACAATTTCTTACAAGGTTTAGCATTTACCTGTCTACCTGAGTAGATTTTCTTACACCCCCAGTGAAAAATATCAGTAACATATATATGTACATGTATAGCTGTAATGGATTTTGTTTAATAATTTTAATACCTATTTCTATTTTTCTAACTTTTCTCTTATTTTGTATGCATAATAGATAAAACGGGCTAGATTATTTATGTCTTCAGTTTTGTTTTGTTTAAGGATATTTCTAAACGATATTATATTTACTTGCAAATTCTTAGGCAAACATCTATCCAGAAGATCTTTATAAGCTGGACATTTCAACAAAAAGTGATATTCATCTTCTAAATCTACTTTACATGCAGGACAATTTCTTTGAGATACATCAATATTCTGCCACCTACCAACGTTATTCTTTAAACGTAAGACACCAGCTCTGAATTTGACCAATACTTTACTGAATTTATATTCCAAATTTGCAGACAGATACCCCTCAGGCTCAAGAAGACTCTTATATTTTGCATATAACGTATAACGTGAAATGTTTTCAAGAGTAGATGTCCAATTTTGGTAAAACATATTGATCAAGCATTCTTTAAAATGTGAATAAAAGCGCACGGATCACCGACAGCTTGTGAAAACCAGACAAATCCAAAGCCGTGTGAGCAAAGTATATGGCGGATCTCAGACGCCCATGTGTGGTACCCAGCAGTATCTAGGTAGTATAACATATTATATGCCTTTTTCGGAATTCGTCCATCATGCATTGTCATTAACTTAAGCCAATATTTCATCGTTCGAACGTAGGAATTAATATAAACTGGAAACCGTCCACACTCTCCATATACTATTGCATTTGGTGTCTGTGGACCGACATTTAAAAATATTTTGCATACTTGTAAGTGAAATTTTTCAATGCTATCGTATCTTTTAACCCCCCCAAACTTCTGATATGGTACTTGTTGGTCCCTGCTTAGAGTTCGGCATTAATGGGTACAACAAGGACTGGTCGGCTCGGAGTCAGTATAATGTGTCTGAGTGGGGTATTCATGCTTCACTGCGGCATGGTATCTCAGTGGGCTAGCACTATTAAACCAGCTTAAGTCTGGGCTAGTACAAGCAGCCGCACATACACATACACAAGCATGCACGTCGTCATATGAGCGAAATATTCTCCAGCACGACGTTAAACCCAATTTCACCTCACCTCACCTCTGACCCATACAAGTATATTGGCTGAATTTGGCTGTCAAATATTTAAAAAAATACTTCCAAAGGTATTGGTCCTAATTTCCTTAAATTTATACTTAATTTCATTAAAGCCTTCTTACTACGAGCTGCAAGTTCTGAGACAGCTTGCCTGAAACTACAATTACACGTGAACACAAAACCTAGATATTTGTAGCTGTTTACCGTTTCAATGTTTCTCCCATTATAAAGCCAATTTTCCTTAACCGCTATTTTCCCACCTCTCCTAAAAACAAGAACATTTGCCCATTTTGTTCGTCTTTCATGTAAAACACTAGTATATATTTTCCCAAGCTGAGTAAAGATATCCCCCGGTAATTATCGGGAATATTAACATCACCTTTTTTGTGCAGAGGAACTATAATTGCTTTACTCCACACTTGTGGAAAACAACCGTTTGAAAATAGTTTATTGAACATTGCCACTAAAAAAGACATTATTTTAGGTTCGCTTGTTTTAATCATTTCTATAAGGACGTTATCAATTCCTGGAGATTTACCATTTTGCATATGCCGTATAGCCTTGTGAATTTCTTCCTCAGTTATAATGGATTCAAGTATCTCCTTATCAACTTCACTCATTTCTACAGATTGGTCTAAATTGAGCAGTACATCTCTGGTTCAGTTATATCTCTCCTTTTGAAAAGTTCATGAAAATGATCGTACCATCTTTCTTTAGTTATATCATTCGTATGGGATTTTAGCTTCGAAATCTTTCTCAGCTCCCTACAGAATACAGTGGAATTGTTCCTTGCAAGATATAGTTTATTTGTTTTGTGGTATTGGTATTTACGTTTCCACTGTCTACATAAACCTTTACATATATTTCTAAGTCTACAATATTGAGTTTTACACACTGAAGTTCTGTTTCGTCTAAATATACGTAAACTACGTTTAGTTTCTTCTTTTGCCTTATGACACTCTGGTCCATAAAAGGTGAATACTTTCGGAATAACGGACACTCTCTTTTGCATACAGTCTGCAGCATCAAGTAAAATTCTTAAAAATGAGTCAATGGCTAAATCTACATCCTACTCTAAGACATTTATGAAATTGTCGAAATGGAAACCTATATCTGATACATTTTCAATGAAAGTGCTAGCGTGATCATTATTCCATCTATACTTGAATGTACTTGCACTCATGTCTTTAGTTACCAGTGTTTCACCTGGACCAGTGAATCTAAGGATCAAAGGCATGTGTTTACTCTCTATTCTATCTCCTACATCGAAGTTCGAGAAATACTTAAATAGTCCAGGTGATGATATAACGTAATCAATTAGACTACAACCCTGTTCGGAAACACAAGTAAACATTCCTCCAGTATCTCCTTCCACCCGGCAGTTTAAGATATACAAGTTAAAAACCTAACACAAATTTAACAGAAATTTCCCAAATCTATTTACACAAGCGTCATTTGTAAATCTAGCATTTACAGAGACCGCTTCACCCTCGGGAAAATAGTCATCAAAGTTTTCACTCTGGATATCTGGAGGCTGATTTCCAGTCCCAACCAGAGCATTTAAATCTCCACACAGAAATATATAGCAATCCGTAAGATAATTTGAATTATCTAATAACCACTGTTCTCGAATAACCACAGTGTTTCCTGTGAGTTTATAGTAAGAAGATCCCTCTGGGGGAGCGTATGCTACACGAAGTAAAACATCACGATCTGGAGATTTACCATTTTACCCTCTGGGGGAGCGTATGCTACACGAAGTAAAACATCACGATCTGTGTCTATAAGTCGCTTATCTAATCGGATACAAACTGCGTTATCAATATCAATAGGAACCCTCGAACAAAATTCAGAAATGTTTTTTATATAAATATATAAATACCTCCCGAAAGTCTGCCATATTTAGCTAGTTTTATGGCTGCACAAAAATACACTTCAAAGTCACAGAGTTCAGGAATGTCAATATACTTATCAGCAAATGTCTCTTGCAGGCATATGAAATCAAACTGGAGCAGAAAATACATAAAGTCACCGTCAACAAGCTTATTTAACAGGCCGTCAGTATTCCGAGTAAGAATCGAGAACGTCGCGGATTGACGAGAAGAAAGTTGACTGGCTAAACCAGAGTCAAGTGGAACATTCACATTCTCACAGCTCGAAATTCGCGATGAAACCCGGCCGCATTCCTATTACGTGATCGTACGTTTGCGTTTGGTGTCGAAGAGCCCGTAAACTTATATATATGCGCAAAGGTCTTGGTCCCGATGTTTGGTTGATTTCCCTCTGCATTTGATTTGTCCACAGTAACAGTCCTGTTCAGCTGAACAGCACTATCTGATTCCGCACTGGCTACTTCAGAGTGTGGTACTCGGGGATTAATGATGAGACGCCCGTTCTTAAAGTATGCAATAAGCCACTTATCTCTTTGCTCAGTCAGAATATTACGTTGACGTTTAGTCAGGTCATTTGATAGTCCAATCTGTGAACTCTGGAATCTAGCACTGGCACTTTGTCCTCTGTCAACGTGATCCTCGCGATCAGTGGCCGTGGCCGACGAGTGCTATCGTGTCTTCCTATGCGATGCGCCCTTATAATGTCTGATCGACGTCAGGTGCGGTCTTGAGTGTGCTTGTTTAAGGTATCTATAACAAGATCTTTACAAGAATCATAGCATTCATGCTCACTTTCCTTTATATTATAAAACACCACATTATCTCTACGGCTGTGTGCCTCAAGCTTGTCTAGGTCCTCGGCCTGCTTTTCTAACTTGCATTCCACTGATTCCAGTCTGGGTGTGTAGGATAAAGCACGGTTCCGAGGTTATGGTTGGGAAAGTAAGACCCGAGACCGGAGGGTGGGGAGAAGTAAGACCGAGAGCGCTAACCGAGGAGGAGTGCTTTATCATACATATATACCGTCAATGATGGATAATTAGATGATCATGTAATGAAGCTACATAACAGTAACTGAAGTGCTAGTACAATCATTTGAATGACAGTAGGCCTAACTATAAATAGATTATTCAACCCTCTTTGTCGGCCCGGTGGCTGTGAGGTAGAGCGCCCGCATATGAATTATACGGTTCCAATCCTGCTAGGGAAATCATTTGCACATTTAAGTTGATCTTTGACGATATTTTTCAATTGATTTCAAACACTAACATATCATCTGAATTTGAATGTTGATGTTAATATAGAGTAAGGAAAAAGTAAAACCTGGGAAGAGGTCTTACTTACGAAAGGTAAAACCTGGGAGCAAACCTCAGATGCGGTAATTCCGGGAAAAGAAGCCATGTCTAATATATAGTGAGAAGCAACCTTCAGATTTATATGTGATTTATATGTGATTTCCTGCTGGTGCTCAATTCTGTTCACATCATCACCAATAATTTTCACAGCACTGTCCAACTGATCAAATTTTGTGCTGAAATCTTTAGCTGAATTTTAATTGAATCTACTTCAGTTTCATGGAACTTCTGAAGTCTTTTAATTCATCCAGTATTGCTGACTTTACATCATTTAAATCCTTCATGGTAAGAGGGCCTTGGTTGCTTTCAATGTCATTTGATAGCGTAAGTTTATCCCGCACAAAACTGCTGGGCACATAGAAGACATCAATTGCATTCTCAATGTGAACACTGCCTTGATACGATACGCTGATCAAAGGTGTGCTACGTGTGACGTCACCCAAATGGCTCGCATGTAAAGACACATTTGGTAAATATTTCACCCAACCTTTGCTGGATTTCGTGCGGCAGTATTGTATTGTGGCAAATGTATGGTGGCTGATTAGGGCTCCGAATTTTAAGGCGAGAAAGCGTTGGCCCTAATCAGTCACCATACAAATGACTCATGTATCGCATTATTGCAAACTGTGTCACGGACACTGAGTCGTCTGGGTCCTACGCTCGAGTCTGATAAGCCTTACTGCACACCCCGAGTTACACAGAGGAGAAGAGCACACTGCACAGCGAGCAAGCAACATGCCTTCTTACAAGCTGATCTACACGAACAATAAAGGGCGGGGTGAACTGTGCCGTCTGTTGTTTACCTTGGCTGGACAGGAGTATGAAGATGTCAGATGGACAAGGGAGACCTTACAGGCCGAAAAACACAGTGAGTTTTGTATATGAACATAAGGCACGTCAGGAAGTAAACTGTGTGAACGCCGTGTGTTGTGGTGGTAGTAGTGTGTGCGTGCGTGCGTGTCTGTGTGTGCGTGCGTGAAGGTGGAGATTGGGCAGGTTGAGCGAGGGGTGTAGGAGAGGGAACAGTTAAAAATAGATATTCATAAGACCGAGTACTATAGTATTGTGACAGTGCACAATTTATCATTATATTCTTCATATTTGTATATTTTTTCTGAATGTATGTATTTTATATATATTTGCCACAAATTTCACTTTCATTTTGAAGAGTTGTAATATTGAAACGTCACTTCATGTCATGGCTCCAGCTGATGTAACGCACTTCGCAAAGATAATTAACATAAGCCATATACCATTGAAAGTGTCAACTTAAAACTTAATCCATTGTTTATTGCACCAGTAAATGTCTTAATGACCACCGTGCAGATGTCCAGGCGAACAACTGTAGAAACAAACTGCAATAAATCTGACCTAATTGACGCCAATTACTATTGTGACACGGTCATGTGGCGCCAGCTATAAAAACTAATCCCGACAAGGGTTGTAAAACAAACCGTAATTAAACTGATGCAATTATCCTGTCACGGTCACGTGACTACCCTTCCAAAACTCGTTTCGGCTTGTCCAATCAGTAACTGTTTGATCTATGTCAACCAACCAAAATCGTAATTACCGTATTATATGTTTTGGCCAATCGCAAAGAATTCCAACATTGATCAGTGATGTTTTCGGCTATAAAAGAGGTGAGTGATTTCCCATCGGCACACTTGACCTCCCCACAATAAATGATGAAACATCTCCTTGACTGATCATTGACTTACGGAATTCTACATTCTATTTTTAAGGTAAGTTCTTTGGTACAACTCTACGAATTCTGTCAGATAATGTCATGACTGGAATATATTTTTATGTATATGTTTATAGTGGCAATATAATGTGTATGTTTATTTTGCATGGACATTGACATGCATATATCTCAGTCGTTAATTGAATATGTAAGTGAACTAGATGTGCTGTCATAGATTAGTTGAGCCTGTATTGGACTCATGTAAGGACACATTAGATGTACTTTACATCACTAATATGCTAATAGTGAACAAATTGGTTCAGTGGCATATATCATTTATATATGTTTTATATGACGACAGCTGAGGTATAATTGTGATTTGTGTTAAAATGATTTGTATGAATGATTTTGTATTATGATTATTATATGAAGTTAGGTTGAAAGAAGAAATATTATATCTGTTATACACACAAGCTCTACCGTTTGAGATGCTAATTCCCCATCAAAATGTGTATATTAGATTATTCATGAATACATATGCATAAAAGATATTCAAACAATAATCTAATATACACATTTTGATGGGGAATTAGCATCTTGTAGAGTTGTACCAAAGAACTTACCTTAAAATAGAATGTAGAATTCCGTAAGTCAATGATCAGTCAAGGAGATGTTTCATCATTTATTGTGAGGTCAAGTGTGCCGATGGGAAATCACTCACCTCTTTTTATAGCCGAAAACATCACTGATCAATGTTGGAATTCTTTGCGATTGGCCAAAACATATAATACGGTAATTACGATTTTGGTTGGTTGACATAGATCAAACAGTTACTGATTGGACAAGCCGAAACGAGTTTTGGAAGGGTAGTCACGTGACCGTGACAGGATAATTGCATCAGTTTAATTACGGTTTGTTTTACAACCCTTGTCGGGATTAGTTTTTTATAGCTGGCGCCACATGACCGTGTCACAATAGTAATTGGCGTCAATTAGGTCAGATTTATTGCAGTTTGTTTCTACAGTTGTTCGCCTGACATCTGCACGGTGGTCATTAAGACATTTACTGGTGCAATAAACAATGGATTAAGTTTTAAGTTGACACTTTCAATGGTATATGGCTTATGTTAATTATCTTTGCGAAGTGCGTTACATCAGCTGGAGCCATGACATGAAGTGACGTTTCAATATTACAACTCTTCAAAATGAAAGTGAAATTTGTGGCAAATATATATAAAATACATACATTCAGAAAAATATACAAATATGAAGAATATAATGATAAATTGTGCACTGTCACAATAATTCTCGGGTGACAAAAGCTTTTTGTCCTCAAAAGCAAAAAACAAATGAGGTTCAAAGAATGCAAAACATGTGACAATGAATGTTTACACTAATCAGTGGTTGGTGCCCTTGTTTGCCCTTCTAACTTTAAAAATAACTGTGGTCATTTGTCATCTATATATGACTGTTGTAGGGGTGAAGAATATTGTACAGACCATGATGGGATATAAAAATAGTAGCAGAATAAGGATGTTTTAAAATTGTACGAATGCGTCTGGCTTTAAGGCAGTTCACGCGGAATTTGTTTGGGATATTGATAGGTTGGCACGAATATTTATTTTTAATTGTAAGTCCTGGCCATTGAATATGAACAGTAGGAAAGATATAACCATCTACATAAATATCATACGTCGTAGTTAGCAAGGTAGCATCCCAGTTGGATGGACATGTACTTAAACTAAGTATGGGGAGGAGTTCACATTGAAATCCTGTTGTAAACTCAAGTGAGATTAAGGTACAGTGTGCCTTCTTGGACTTGAGTTGGTATACGATTACAATAAGCAACATTATGATAATGACGTGAAGCATTATGGGAAGATTGTCCAGGAATGTTGATGTTACCATAGATAGACTTATTGTGGGGGTAGGGGTAGTTGGGTTGTGATACTCAAATGAGGGTTGTTCTGATTTAACCAAAGAAGGTTGTGAAACCAAACAAAGAGTGGCAGCTAGTGTTCTATACTTGAAGAAGAGCCAAACAAATGCTGTTGACAATACAATAGATATACTATATGATCCAAGAGTAAACCAAAAGTTGAAATCAAAAGTTGATTGTGGAACACTTATTTGTCCCGCAAGAAGAGAATCAGTTAAAGTTTTATATACGTTTTCATCATTTTTGACACTTTTCACCATTCGTGTTAAGCTTAAGTGATCATGCTGATCTTTAGCAATAATTTCGTTAAACTGATGACTGTAGATTTTGAATTGAGGAATATGAACTTTGACAGGCTTGGCAAATAACGTGTCACCAAGAATGTTATTTATAGAATCATCGTCAAAGAAATGTTGAATTAATGCCAAATTAACTGTATGGGAATATGTTACTTTGGAGTCCGTTTTGTTTTGACATTTACCAAGATGTGATGTAATAAGAAGATTTTCAGTTTTGATAGTACACAGGCATGGTATATTAACTACACACATAGAACAACCTTTAACGTAACTGGAGCCGTCAGGGCAATGAAGTGTGAGAAATGGTGTGTTATAAACAAGTATAGAGTGAGGTGTTAGTGGGATTAGCATAGACTTTTGGTTATCTGGAAGAAATCTAAAGTTACAGAGTTTCTTGATGTTAGTTTTGTCATTATTGAAAATGGCAATTTCACACGATGGTTTAGACATTGCAAAGAGGGTTGGCTTGAATGGACAGTGTAATGTCGCGTGACCATAGCATTGTGTAAGAAGGGCTTCTGATAACATTGTAAAATATTTCTCACTTGTAGAGATTGCTACATGTGGCGCAAAGTCTAATAGCTGTGTGGCTTGTTTGGAAGTTGCATTGATTGGGACAGGGTATGAATTAATATGAAAAAGTTTAAAAGTATAATGTGATGAAGCAACAGGAAATTTGATAGTAAGATAGAGTTTGTCGGATTTGGTGCGAGCAAACATAAAATTTCCATGTTCATAATAGAAATTAGGGTTCTTTCCAACAGAGAAAATCCAACATATTCCTTTTGTAGGAGCTTCTGAATGTGGTGACAAGTTGTAGTGAGCAAATCGGGACTAATCAGGAGGGGCGATAACTTACCACTTACCAAAGATTGAATTCGAGTTTGAATTCTTGTAAATTGTGTTCAATGAGTGAAGCCTGTTGAATTTGGTGAGTTAAAACTGATGTTAATGAACTAAACGCTTCCCTTAATGTGTTAAATGAATGTGTGATGCTCATAGTTGCTTGTCTAATAGCTTCATGGTTCAACTTGATTCCACTGAGAGCATTGTTAAACCTGTGATCCATTGCTGTCATATATGACGAAAAGTGAGTAGAGAATCTTTTGAGGGTGTTGGCTACTTTCAGGTCTCTAAGTGTGAGAGCATTAATGTGTCTGGCTATCACATTGATGTCGTCCATTGTGGCAGTTCCGAAGAGTGATTTGGAAAACTTCCCAATGAATCCAAGAATAGCTCGTTTGATCGTCCTTTAGATGGATGGGTGTCTAATGGAACGAGCTTGTTGATTTGCTGAATTGTCAAGTTCATCATCGTTGCCGTCCGAGTCTTGATAGAGTTCAGATTGGCCTGAACAAGGTTCACAATGTTACATGTCGCATTGTTTCGATGGCATCCTGTTGTGATTGGCAGATGCAGTGGTTTGGGTAATTCAATTTCATATGTATGAAGCCAATACTTCATCATCTGCAAACTGTACGTTGACTGATGGGGTGTAGACTACGCCATAATTCATACGCTGAATGATATCGTCTGTAGCTTTCTCTCCAGAAACGGGATGCAAGAGAAGTCCAAATAGGATGCATCCAAAGAGGAACAAGAGTCCTGAGAAATAAGGAAATCACAGTTAGATGGGAATAAGTCTGGGGGTGAGAAGTGTAAGACGTCTCTTACATATCCCTAGCACTTTGTAGACACATATTTTACTATGCAAATTGTTGAGGCTTATTCTCATCATTGTGTTAGAAGGGTGATAGGAAAGACATGAAAGAGAAGAGAGGTTACCAAGGTGGAGAATTGAATATTGCTACATCTGATACTGTATGTATGAACATATTTAAGAGGCAGCCTTGAAGAAACGTGGCTTCTTCTTACGTCCTGTGGCAGTCGTGGTGGCATGGAATCTATCCAACATGTGCTTGGGAATGTTTTCAGCAGGTTCCC